CAGAATATACCATGGATTGATACCAGCTATATGATGATATCATACTGGTGTCCTACCCTCTGTACAATAATTATTCTCTCGTTCAACCAATATATCTACGTCATTTCATAGCCATATACATTTCCACGGAAAATAAATGGGGAGTCACTGATTTATAGTCCTACTAGAGGTCGTACTCAGGGTAGTGGTACAGCACAGAATCAGCCATGGCTAGATACTTCTCCCTGTAGGAAGGAGGACGAGAGGTACAAGGCGGAGTTGACTAAAAGTTCCTATTCGTAAGAACAGGGGACAGGATATCCGCTGAATCCGTTCCCTCAAAAGCATCCATAAGTACCCGATCCATTTCGTACGCAATGTTCCCAGTACTTAGGTCAATTGGCTCGGCCGGCGATGCAAGGTTCATGTACAGAACAAGGTCGCTCCAGAGGTCTAAAGATAAGACGAGTGCCCTACTGTTGAGTCCGCAAAGAATGCATCCCCATAGCGTGTATTAGCGTCAGGGCTGGGTGCAAGCATCCAAAAAGTATATACCGGGTCTAGTGGATCGGGTATATTAAATTCAAGCTCCGCATCATGGTTACTGTATGCTTTATTATGTTCCTCGGTTTTGACGACCTTATTGAGTTCACTTTACCGTGTCTCTGATAATAACGGTGCGTCCTTCCTTTTATTCGTATCCTGTAACGGCCCGCCCAATCCTCATAAACTAAACTACAACTTGATCCACTGCTCTCGTGGCAGTTGGTTGTTGGCCATGTGGTCCCTCTCTGCCTCATTGACCAAGTAGAAGAAACACTCCCTCAATGATACATTATCTCTGTAGTCCCTATCCTCCACCCATTTTCCTTCTGTCACGTTCCTTATGGGCCTACTAAAGGCTATGGTCCATACCCCCCCTATGACCTCTTGCTTCAGGAATATTGTCCGGTTATAGGTGGATATAAATCCATATTTAAGCTTTGCTGCCAGCATGTATCCCACAGGTTGGGCTTGTTACACATGTTAGTGATGGTGCCATCTGTGTCTCATGATTCTACATACCAAGGATGCGGCGCAGATGGGGCAGTTTTCTGTACCCAGCTGCCAGATCATGCTGGCTGATCCAGGGAGTTTTCAACTCGCCTACAATACGTAGTAGGCCATTGTGATTCATCACAGCGACGTCCGGCACTTGTGCTTTGGTGCGTCTATCTGTAGTAGACTTGTAATCGCTGAAATGTGCCGTTGACTCAGTCCCCGCAAGGATGGCTGTCATCACCTAAATCAACTCTGCACAATAGGTCAAAGTCGTCCCAAGGGACTAAAGGCCCGACGAAGCCTTCGTGATGTAATGTGTGATTTGGCTCTGTTGCCCCAAGATATAAGCCCCAAAAGATAGGCTAATTAAGTGAGGGACAGTGGGAACTAATGTAGATTGGAACAAAGTCAGCTTCTGAATCTTGATGTGATCCACGATATTGTATTTCCTCACAGATTGTAGATCCCATAGAAATTACCAGCCCACACAAGCACGTCTGGGCCATCTGTTCGGCCTTCTGATTGATTCCACGAGACATACTGGAGGTTGGTTCAGGGAGCCGCCGACACACCAGCTAGGCTACTAATATACCCTTTCCTGCAACCGCCTGCCTAAGGTGAGTGCCGTGACTATTAGGTCCTGGGAATGTGAAGCAAATAAGCCGGCACATGACCTAGTATACTATCTACCAGTAGTGATATTGGTAACCGACCTACACTAGTTACCGGGCCCTGTGATTCTCTGGTCTAAAAGCATAATTAACTAGCAAAGTGACTGTAATGGCGAATGCGGACTCAAAAATGCAATATGCAAGGAAAGAACGGATACGGTGATTTTCGAAATCCGAATTGGCTAGTGAATGATAGACTACATGTGAGGGACCGGGTGCTCGCAATACTAGTTTCCGTGCAGTAAGTGTAGTAGAACCGCCTATAATATGGAAGCAATTGACAACTCATAGGACTTCCAGCGAGCATAATGGACAAATCCCTGACTACCCCGCCCTCCTGAATCCCTCTTATCTGGAATGCACTGTAACTGGAGGGATTCAATGGGCAATGTGTGCTTCTTCCATACTTGTGTCCCGCCTCCCATGTCTCCGCCAGAAGTTGAACTTTCCCTATCCCAATTGATTAGTCTTGAGCTGTTTGGTGACCTGGGCAATTGCTTTACCGGAAGACTACAGTCAAATGAAGATGTGAATCAATATATGTACTGAATAAAAGGGATTCGGAGGTCTTAACATAGACCCAGCAAATGGAATGATACCTAGCATTGTCACGTCATCGGACACCGAGTCAGCAGTCCGATTATTAACACGACAACTCCTTGCTTCATTTGATTCGAGTGAACATTGGAGTTGCAGTTCTCGGACTTCAAGGCTCCATACTGGCAATGGTTCAACATTAAAGCATCGCCTACAAGACCGCATTTCCAGGGTTGGTCCCACACCCAATGGCCTAGGCCTTACTACCAGTAAGGAAAAAAATCGTCTAAAGTGGATATTATCATTAGGTGTATATTGCCTACTGGAATGAATTCCTCTCATGTGAAGTATAATGCCGGAGCGAATGTATATATAGCTGCACGCAGTCAAAGGAAAGCGGAGCCTGTGACTTGACTTCAAGGCACAAAAAGCGCGAAGGAAACAAAACCTACAGTCAGCCTACCAAACGGTTTTTAGAAGCCTTTCTTGTGACAATGATGCTGGTGTTGCTGATAGACTCCGCACCAACATAAATAGCAAGGCCTCGAGCCGTACTTTGGTACTAAGTGTGTTACGCCCTACCCCCTTACCCAGCTGCTGTCACCTCTTCTTATCACGACAGCCGAGAAATCGCCAACGCCCCTGGACAGTGTTTGTGTTATTTGGGCTTCCAGTTCTATGGTGGGAGAGAAATTTCGAAGGCCTTTGAAGAATGATGTGAGAAGAAGATCCGAGATTCTCGTTAAGGCGATGCGTGTTTCTAACTTCCTTTATTTGCATAATAAGATCCACTACCTTGAACTATGCTACAGCAAACCACTGCTCTTCTGGCAGCTGGTTAGTCGCGACATGATTATTTTCTGCCAATTGTACAAGATACAAGAAGCACTCTCTCAGGGACACCATATCCTCGTAGTTTCCATCGTCGACCCTTTTCGCCTCGGTGCAGCTCATTATAGGCCTACTAAAGGCTATTGTCCAGTTTCCCCCTATTATCTCTTGCTTAAGAAAGATTGTCATATTGTACGTAGATATGAAGCCATATTTCAGCTTCGCGGTAAACATATACCTGACCGGTTGAGCTTATTGCATATATCAGTAATAGTACCATCTATGTCTCACCCACGTTTGTGCATACCTAGGACCCGTCGCAGATGACGGTCGTTTCTGCATGCAGTTTCGAGATTGTGTCGTTCAATCCAGGGAGTTTTCAACCCCCCAACAACACGCAATAGGCCATGCTCATTCTGTATCGCTACATCTGGTACCTTCCTTTGATACGTCGGTCTCCGGTAGACTTATAGTCTCCAAAGCATGAATTCGAAACCAATCGCCTCCAGTGCAGCCGTCATGACGTGGGAGAGTCTTTCAGTAAATCGGCTTTGTAAACCCATCTCGTCCCCAACAACGACTCGCTCTGTGGGTAGCAATGCTGGTCATGTGATCGATTTATAGCCCAATACCTGACCACCGATACTCAGGTTCAACGCCACGACATTCAAGCCTGGCTTCTTCCTCAATCTCGTCCCAAGGGACCAGAGGGCCAATGAAGGTCCCATAATGGAGAGCATGAGACTTTGTTCTGTTTATGCCGATATTTAAATCCGGCAAAGGCGCTTTAATCACTTGCATAGGCTTCTGTGCAATTCCGCTCGGCATTTTGAAGGATGGTTTGGACTTGAGTTTTTATACTTACTTTGGTATCTCCACATACTATACTACGTACTACAGGGGAATTCAATTCACTGTTAGGACTCTGCATTGCATTCATGATACAATGTGACATTCACACGCGTATTCTAAATTGCATACTTGTGTGAAAATATCATTAACTCGCTCGACTTCACCGCAGCCTGACGTCGCGATGATACGCTTTGGACTCCCCGCTCTGGCCAATATTCGCGCAATACTCGCAGACAACAGCACCAGCTATGGAGGGGCGATCGGCTTGATCAATGAAAAGTAGTAACGTTGCTACGGTAGCCTGAAGCATACGCCGTTTTTATATCTTGTAAGGCTCTAAGTGAAGTGAAAGCAACTACCAAGTCTGGCTCAAACACCAAGTAACCTGGAGAATGAAGTGAGGTGCTAAATACTAGTCGTTAAACAGTCTCTGTCTGCTTTGAGTGGAAGAGAGTCTAGTCAACCCTTGCGGACCGACGTATGGGATGATGACCTTCTAGCAAGGATTGCTAAAATGAAAATTCAGAGGGGGTACATGGCGTTGCTTACTATATAAGGGACAACTTGGGGTAGACTAGTACATACGACCACAGGGTGTGGAGAACAGGGCTTCCCGTCCGCTCAGCCGTACTTAAGCCACACGCCGGGAGGTTAGTAGTTGGGTGGGTGACCACCAGCGAATCCCTCCTGTTGTATGTTTTTTGTTTTTATTTTACCCTCTCTATAATGTAGTACATATAGATAGACAGACCTTGAAGGCTTTTGAATGGTTGGTTAATTCATCCTGAGTACCGACCAGGTAGCTTTGTAGGTAGGCAGATATTGCCAACGTCTGGACTGAACCCCCGGTATAGATATGGTACTGGAAGGGTATGATTACCTATGGTATTGTACACAGAATGTATTCAAGCCGGAATGGGTGGGTGGAGTTGGCGATCATCCGCGATTTACACTAGTAAGCGCCCCCAGTGAATCTTAGCCTTGACGTGCCCTGATCGACTCAAAGACCAACAACCAACCCAGCCTTAGTCTACACAATCTCGGCTTCTCCTCCAGCTAGCTGATTCTTGTTTTTCGAGGTCCACTTGGTCATGACAACGAATAGGAAGGACAACACTGGGGCCGCAGCAGTGGCATACTGGTGAGAATATCACCCCAGCAGGGCCACGTAACATGCTCCGTCAGAGCCCCGCCAATGAGTGGCCCAATAATGCTGGCCACGGCGAAGGTGGAATTCAATGTGCCGGTGTGCACTGCTCGTTTGTGAAGGGGAATCACCGTGGTCAGAATAATCAACCCGCCAGCGAAGATCCCTGAGCCCCCCAGCCCGGCAATGGCCCGGCCTACAATCAGGACCGGTGAGGAGGGGGCCAGCGCACACACCAGGCTGCCAACTTCCAAGAGGGTCAACAAGATCAAATAGACCCCCTTCTTAGCGAAGAGACTGTACATTTTGCCAATTTGGGGCTGGCTAGCGTAGAGCGCAATGAAGAAAGCGCCGCCGTACCATCCACGTCGCCCAGGGAATGAAAGTCCGACGTGATCTTAGGCACGGCGGTGGCCAACATGTTGAAGTCCAGCCCGGCCAAAAAAGTGCAGAGACAGATTCCAATGTGGAGTAGCAAAAGCTTCACTCCTTTCACCTCATTCTCAGGGTCGATATCATCGTGATAGGCCACTCTCTTCCCATCGTCCTGTCTGTCGAGGCAGATCTCCATCGGCTGACTGATCTTGGTTGTTGGTATATCCATACCAACCAGGGGAAACACAAATTCGATAAAGAGTGAGAAGGTATTTAATTAAGATCTAGAGACACCAGAGTAGGGAATATGGTGGACAGAGGGATAGCAGATGCTTTTGAGCAGAGTAAGAATGAAGTCGAGGGTAAACAGATAAGCACGCAAGCCAAGTCTATGTAGGAATAAACCCAACCAACACACGGGATAGCTTACGGATGGCAATATTGATGCATAGTCTACAGCCCTTTCCTTGTCGTAATAGCGCAGGTCGACACTCAGCCCCCAAAATACACGTTTTGCTCCTTTAAGCCAAGTCCATACTGAACCTAAGCGCTACGATGGGCTACATATCGCCGGGCTGCAAGCAGTGTAGTGTACACCGGTTTTCCACCATCGACTAGACCGACCCCAACTTCGGCTATGGCAAGACTGTTGTCCCGTTCGGCACTTTGCCAGCCCGATATTAAAATTGATCCTTGTCAAGGTGCTAACTGAGTGCTATTAACGGATACGTTACTTTAAGAACTATTTACTACTAAGCAGCACTAAGCTCCCTTGATCAGGACCCTTGATGCCAGGTATTTACCATCCGGTACGGTTTTGTGACCACGCAATACCAACTAGACACAAACTCACTATACAATGCCGTTCACCCAACGGCACATCCAAATCTGGACATCCGAGGAGATCAATACAAACTCATGAAAGGAAACATTGGGCGGCCTTTTGCCTGCAACCAATGTGGGCCACTGATATGGCATGGTCTGTAAGTAGTCCGGGTTGGGCTTCTATCTGCTCCATAACCTGACAGCAGTCTAGACCTTCAATCCAAACAATTGGTCTTCATGCTGATTGAGCCCAACTTGTTCCGTCATTCCGCCTGTCTCGATTTCTACGGGCGGCTCCTTAAGGGTGGTAGATCCCTGCAGTCGGCCATCCACAGCGGCCAATCTGTCCTCTCGCTCGGGAGCCAGAGCGGCTAGGCTCCAGCAGCAAAAGCTTACACTGTTGCAAAAGGGCCCCGTACAGATATACTGCAAGCGTAACTAAAAGGAATTTTATGCAATGCTGCGGTTATTGACACATTTAGTGGTCTATACCAGGAAATACTCGTCCAAAGCGGTCATTGTAGCATAATTAAGGTACTCTACTATGTAGCCTAGACCCTGGCCTACTTGTATCTGGCATACTGGGTCAACTAGTCTGAGTATAAGTTGACCTAGCTTACTCACTTATAAGCCCCTTTTCATTTAGTTCCTCTACTCTGCTCATGTTAGAGCTCCCAAGTATATCGATAGGTGCTCTTACCTATAGTGTTCGTGGCAAAGTTAGCATATAATCATCCTCGCTATGCCGTTTGATACGTATAATACTAAATGATTATATTTTGTTCCAGGATTGTTAAAAGACCAGAATGCTGACCGGTCTGGGCCTAGACACTATTAAATTCATGGGCTTGAAAAGGCCGATCAGCTCTTCTCCATGCTGTGCGAAGCGGTAGTGTACTAGGCGGTGTTTCTACCAACGTAGAAATGGAATCTTTTCCTAGGGGGACTGTACTTATTCACTGCCTTAATATATCTGATAAACTTCAATTACTTTGCATTCAACTAGTAGACGGTCTTTTCAAGAGTCAACTACCGATACCACATACATACTTATAAGGGTAATATCCTCGATCCACTTCAACACTCTGAGACTGGCGGATCCTTCCATGTTGACATAATACCAACCGAACGAGACTAAGGATTGTCTCTAAGCTGCAGAATGTGAGCTAAGGCCCAGTCCTGGTCGTTCGCATATGGGTCTAGGTAGTGACCAGTGCGTCCATTCACAGTAGTAGGGTAGAGGAAAGCACATGATCCTTGTCCCTCCGTAAAGAGAACGAGGTTTGCCCTCAAAATCTTCTCCACGCGCGTTAGGTATGACTCGTCCCCCGTTGCTCTTGAATAGTGGTGCATTGCAATACCTGTCAGAGTGCTCCAATAATGAGGAAACGTGTCACCCCACATACGATCTTTTCCGAACCAATATCCGTCCCAGTGCCGGATGGCAACATCATTCAGATGATAATCGGGCTGTCGGCCGCCGAATGCTTCGAGAAGATCGAAGTGACGGTAGGCCGACTTCAACCAGAACGTGTGTCCAGTAGATCGATACAACTCTAGCAGGATGATGGCGGCCGGAGCAATAATCGATTGCTCATAGTTTACTTCCGATGAGGGATAGTGGTCCCCAGTTTCGGCGATCTGCTTGCCATGAACCACAAAAAGCTGTAATGCGCGCTCATATGCAGCCCGATTTCTGGTTTTGTTGAAAAATGTGAGACTTTCGTAGATAGGCAATCCGATCGGGTAGGATGTCCCTCCTCCTTCCGCGTAGAAACGTTGGAGCGTAGCCATGAAGCGTTCGACGGGCGTGGCGGTATAATTTCCATGACTGGTCACAGCTCGATTCCCGAGCTTTGCCATGGCAAGATGAAGTTGCATTACCCAAGGCCAGTCATACAGTCGAATGGATGCGGTCTTGGACCCAACTGGCCAGTCATAGACGTAGCCGGATGGGTCTTGAAGCTTGTTGTTAACATAGTTATAGTAAATCCGAAGTGACTCCTCGACCTCCGTGTCGGAATTGCTTTGGAGCCATCGCGCCACCAATACACCCATCCCCACGCGTTCGCGACCCGTGTTCCTGTCAGATGCTGTATCGAAAGTCACTATGCCCTCCATCTGTGTATCGTAGACTGCGTATGCGCCTGCCTTAGACGTGTCGGGGAAGGATGGGCTTATCTGCTGGTTTGTGGTAATGAACTTCACGCGGTTCTTGATGATCTCATCAATCTCATGCACAGTATTGAGGACAATGGTAGCATTGTGTTGACTCCCACCCCGTTCCAGGGCGAATGTCAATTGCTGCTCACCTGCAGTCTTCGCCTGAATGGAGGTTGAGTACGTGTCTGCTTTGCCGGCGGATGCCAAGTCGACTCCACCCAAAGAGATCTTATCTCCGGGCCGCCCATAGACGGTTAGATTCACGGATTCACCTTTAACAGCGGTCCAGGGTGATGCTTCAACATGGATAACTTGATCTGAGTGCTGGAGACTCTGTTCCAGAAAGTCCTCCCAATCATCATGCCAAAACATGGTCCAGCAGATCTGAGTTGACTCCATGCTTTCCAGAGTCGGCACGTCGGGATGGAGAAGAAAGACCCCTCGAGTGTTAGAGGACGTGACTGTATCGCGCGACTCCACACTATATCCTGAAAAGGCGCCCTTCGTGAGAACGAGCCCCAGGTGCGGTCCTCGGAGGCCCATTCACGTCAGCTTGACCCATGACGAACTGGCCCCTGACGCCCAGATATGTGCATGGGAGCGGTGCTCTAAGACATCTTCCGTCGAGGTATAATGATCGTTGAATGGGGTGTAAATTCCCAAGGATTGAACTCCACCAGCGTTCAGGGTGACCGCATCAGCGCCGGTGTTGGTGAATGAATAACATTCTCGAAAGCTGTTGGATGGCTCATCGACCCATCTAGTGACGTTCAGGTCCACCTTCTCCAATGTGTAGAATACCGTCATGCGGTCCTCCTCAACTGTGATATTGGGAGCTTGCCAATACGCACGATTGAGGTCTCCCACATCCACATAGCCAAGTCCCCACCGGCTCCCGAGAGGCTGCCAAGGGGCATTATCCGGTCCACTTATCCAACTCATCGAGGCATTGTCCTTCGGATTTACGATGGAAAGCAGAGCTCCAGTGTCAGGATCCACCGTGATGTGGAAGTTTGTCGAGCGTATATTCTGCACGCCTTTGGCCCCCAGAGTGCCAGTGGCGAATAGAAGAAAAGGCACAGCACGCATTTGTTCCTGTTATAGCGCGAGAAGGCTGCGCGAAGTTGGATATGTGTTCTTCAAGGAAGGGCTGTGTGCCGGCAACGCCATTCCATGGCAAATTTTAACTTATATCATAAACCATGTTTCACTAAAATCTCCGCGAAATCCCAAACAGGAGATCCCGCTGGTGCATATCATCTCCAAATACCCCGACTTCAGAAGGCCATGTCGGCTGATATGTATTTCATCCGACCAATCATCTAGCCAGTGTAGTGTAAGACAAAACGAGATGCTCGGTTAGGTTCAAAATAGGAAAAAGAGCGAGAAACGAAACATGAGGAGTTCGGGTTCAAGAAGACCGAGCAAAGAGGGGTCGGTCAAATCAGGACATGGATCTACATATGACCCGACAAGGACACTGTCGTATTCGTCAAGAGGTTTCTTACTGGACTTCTGCCTGGTTATATCTTCTATCTGAGATCCAAGCCTGTCACCTTCCTCTTCCAATCTACGATGTGCATTTCCAATAGGCTGCTAAGAACTCCTCTATCAATTCCTGATTTTATTTCCATATTTTCTGATTCCGCAATGGCTTTGACCCGTCTCTGATGAGCTGCTTAAGAACCATCTCTTTATCGAAAACACTGGCTATTACAAAGGTCGTAGTGTGGAGGATAGTAAAGGCCTTATGGCTCGCATGGGATTGAAGCCCTTATGAAAAGAGTATGCTCAGACATAAAAGGAGACATGCCAGTGAATAGAGAGACATGGACTGGCTGTACCTATATGATAACGTTAGGTTTTCAATCAGATATGCCATGAAATACATATAGCGCTGTTCCCCTAGTAGTCTGTCTTGCCCTGGTTTCCGTTGATTGAAGTAGATCAACTCTTTCCTTGAAAAATGATATGTAACGGGGACTGCACGGGAAAATAATATATTACTAGAGCCTGTGGCTTCTTGCACTGGTTCTTTTTGAGCTATATGGAGCAAACAGTGCTACAGTTGGACGGTTCCAGTACTTCCGAGCCCGATTCATGACAGTATACTGGTACCATCGTTGTGTGTTTGTCGAAGTAAACCCTAACTAAGTCCATAGATCGCCACTTGCGGGTTGCGCGGAGTACCCAGCGAGTTACACATTCAAATAGATCAACATGGAGACAACTACAGTCCGAATTTCTGGTATCACTATGATCTAGCATCCTTTGCAAACCGTGGAACTTTCATCGATTCTTGGAAAGATTGTTATTGGTAAACGAACATAAAGATTCTTATGGTGGTTTTATCAATGCTGTCAAAACATAGGCTCCCTGTGCTATCCCTGGCTGTGGCCCTACCTGTCGAGATAAGCATGAGTGTGCGCCCATCTTACAACTTTGGACTTTGTAGGTTACCTTGAATAGTTCGTTCACTGCTTTAGAAACTGTTTGTGGCTCGTTCCGAGAAGACCACTTCTGTTGCCGGCGTACTCCGAAAGTCGTTACTACGGAGGTTTGTTCAACCATGTCGGAACAGGTTCTTTGAGGACAGGCTTGCTGAGTCTGAGAAGCGGTAACTTATGAAGAGTAAGTTGCAAAGTGGTAGCTTTCTAGGATTCGCGTTCAAAAGACCTCATTACGGGAACACCGGGAACGGGGAAGGTATCCTAAGATCCACCACCCACCCACCACCATCTACTGTCTGAGAATGACGGCAGAAAAATATTATTATTGACAGAGAAAAAACATACAACAGGAGGGATTCGCTGGTGGTCACCCACCCAACTACTAACCTCCCGGCGTGTGGCTTAAGTACGGCTGAGCGGACGGGAAGCCCTGTTCTCCACACCCTATGGTCGTATGTACTGGATTACACTAAGTAGCTACCTATATAGAGATAGCTCTTGAAGTTCTCTGATCATTACTGCCGTGATTATGGGGCTATTCACCAGCTCTCGCAGTATGGTCGGAGATCAAGTTCATGAGTGAAACTCGACCGGGGCTGGGTATGTAAGAACCAGTACGTCTCAGCGATCTAATTGCACAGTTAGCGGGGATTCTTCTAACCTAAAGAACGGCGAAAGCAAAGTACTCACCCAGTCGGGGTCGATCTTCGCATCGGGTGTGTCCTTGTTATAATCCTTCGTCTTCTCCGTCGCAATGATCCCGTCGATAATGGCATGAGCAACATGAACGCCCTTGGGACCAAATTCGCGCGCTAGCGACTGGGAGAGCGCCCGGACAGCGAATTTGCTCATGGCAAATGAACCCAAGCCGGGACCCCCCTTCATGGCGGCCGTTGCACCTAGGACGACTAATCAGCATGGTGGCTTTGGAGTTTGGACAGAGCGTCACCCGGCTGCCTTGCGGCCGTCAGCATCCCGCCCACAATCCGGCGATCGGTCGACCACTAACCGGTGAATATCATCGTCGGCGGATGGCGCAACTCTGCCTGCGACACTGCGCGCAGCATCAATGGCAACACTGCTTTGGAGAAATTCGAGGCCCCCCGCGCAGTCGCCTCGAGACTATCCAGGAACTCTGCGCCGGAATCCAGGAATGGCGCGCGCGTGAACTTGCTCGCCACGTTGAAGACGGCCGCTGAAACCGTGAGATCAGATCCGAACCGCTGCTCGATCTGTTTCAGGGTGGAGTTTAGACTCCCTGCATTCGTGACGTCGGATGGGATGCCAATGGCGCATCCTCCATCCTGATTGATGCCCTGGACCAGAGGGTCGAGGCTCGCTTGACTGCGCGCGAGGAGCACCACGGGGTATGCCTTCGCAAAGCGGCGGGCGATGGACGCGCCAGTTCCTGGTCCAGCTCCGGCGACGATCGCGATCGATTTGGAGAAGGATGCCATTGTAGGGTAAGGTGATGGGATTGAACGGCGGTTCGTGGACGTGTAGTGAAATCGAAACTATCGACCTTCCAAATATCTTCGTCTGCGGGTCTAAATAAAGCGAAGCAGATACTACGTCATCAAATATTAAACCTTGAATGGCTTATGGTATTGATCAGCGCTCGGGCTCCGAGAGTCCGAGGGAGCCGTGGTTCGACTCTAGGGGCTCCACTGGTTTATTGCACCCATCCTATACCCCGTGGTTGCCAAAGTAACCCTACATTCCTGCACTTGCACAAACCTCACCATGCAACGACTCCTAGTGAAGATAGAAAACTCCAACTTTCTCTCCTAGATGCACAACTGAGAATTATGATTGTTGGTTGCTATATATCTCTCAGGGCTATCCTATGTCTAGAAAAAGAAAATCTCTTGTACCGGTTCTTCCTGTGTCTCTAAACTTATATAGAAGTGCAGCTATGTTACCGAGATATCTACAAAATCATAAAACGGAAGTAGTTCTAGTTACATAACTCCTATTTAAAAGTCCCTGCGGCACTTATTCTGAATAGCAATCACATTGTTCACCTCCTCGGGATATATACTATCCAAATACTTGCTCATCCAACGCGCGTTTTCTACAGGCTACAGCTACCCGTTCACCCTGCATGACCTAGAGACTAGTTCTTATGTAGAAATATCTTCTAAGTATTTCTATAGAGTTAGTCTTTTCATGCTCCAGTTGGCGTATACAGTTTAATCAGTAATATAGACAGATTATAATCCTCTGTTCCCCCTTCTAAAGGTCTACGCTTACCGTCTGTTTACGGAGAGATCCTGGTCGATAAATTCACTTCTCTTGTAGTCGGAGTCTTTGCTTCTCCAGTTTGTCTCCTATCTTTATCAGCTACCCGTTACATATGGCCGGGTGCGAGACCATAAGGGAGAAACAGCGGCTGAATTCGGGGCAGTGGATGAAATGAGCGTATGAAAAATGTTCAGAAACTGGTAGATCAAAATAATGCATTAGCAACATCACACCTTATAGCAGTTTATTGTAACTGTTGCCGCTCATCTAACTGGCTATCTGACAGCCTTCTTGCACAGGATCGCAAAGCTGACAGCGAGATAAATGTTGGATAGTGGGCAGATGCGCGCAATATTGACTTGGATAAGTGTCGGCACTTTTATGCTGATTCCATTGATGAAGAGTCGGTCCCACGGAAGACGTCTTTGCTGCGAATGGACCGCAAATGAGATACTATATCATATGAAGGACAGAAATTGATGATATTGAATGTTTTTCTAGTTGAAACATGTTCATACTTCATACTAGCCTACAGCCCGTCAGGGAATTAGATGAACCCATGCACGAATTACTCAACCCTTGAGCAAGGGCTGATGGACAGTACAGGCTCACGTGGTCAGGGGTGTGTTTAGATGACTATGCATCATTGTTGTTTCAGGAGGCCGAGTGATAGTTAGATCACAAGATTATTCTTGCGCCATGGACAGGACGGGGCTAGGTCGAAGAAGTATTGTGCACAATGTTGGCTGGTCGGTGGTTAGAGGGTGTAATAGTCCTCCACCGGCAGAGGGCCTTATGTCTAGCAGAACTATGAGTATTATGGTTTGCATCAGATTTCTAAGATTTTTATATACAAACACGCAAAGCAGCTATTATACAAGAGGGGAGGGGATTCCATCTAATCTTCTAATACTCATTCAATCTGGCAGCCGCTGGTGGATATCTCGCCCCTGCCACGGGATAGTTGTCCAAGATAGACTGGATCATCCGAAGGTCACTATCGTCCAATTCAACATTCGCCGTATTCTCTAAAACTCGTTCCTCAGACCTGGCACCCGCGATTGGTACAATGAAGGGCATCCCTGGCTTTCTGCTCTGAACCTTCACCCATGCCAGTGCCAGCTGAGCCGTAGTACAACCCTTTGACTGGGCAAGCTTCTCCAGTTGCTCAACAAGCAGGCGATTCTGAGCAATACTCTCAGGCTGGAAGCGGGGAACCATGCGGTGATGGGTTTGAGGCAGATCGTCCACGCTCTTGATGGCTCCCGTCAACATTCCAGCACCCAATGGAGTATGTGCCACCAGGACAATGTCGTTCTCCGCGCAGGCCTCTGCAACCCCATTTTCAAAGACTTCTCTCGACCAGAGACTGACCTCGGCCTCGACCATGTCAATTTTTGTTACACGGGCTGCACGGCGGATGGTGTCCGCCCGCACTTCGCTCAGCTGGATACCCCCGATCTTCCCCTCGTCCCGGAGCTCCGCCAGAGCCTTCACGCTCTCCTCAATGGGTACATTGGGATCCACTCTTCCCAGACCAAAGATGTCGATCTTCTTCTTCCCATCCAGGATCTTGAGTGCGTTGTCTGCGAAGGCGCGCAGGCCGCTCCGAGAACAGTCCATCGAGAAGGTCTTCATGTCCACCAGACCGGATTTAACGGTGAAGACCACTTTCTCAGCATCCTCGGGATAGGCAGTGAAATACCGATTCATTAGATGTAGGGAGTTGTTGTCCGACAGGCCGTAGAAGTCTGCGCCGTTCCAGACATTAGCCCCGGCTGCTAGGGCGGTTTTGAGCACCTTGAAGGCTTTTTCATCTGGGGTGGGCCCGTAATGCCAGATAAGGCCTGCGACATGTCAGGAGATTGTCGACATGGCCAGAGGGAAGTAATAGGTGGTATACGTACGCATCAGGCCTAGACCATTCTGGCTAATTCTCTTTCCAGCGAGTGTAGTCATGTTTTCTTATTGAATGTTGCGAAAGATATGCGAGGTCTGATGTTAGGAATATCATCTTCAGGAAGCACCGTCCTATTTATCCCTTTTCAACATGCGATTTAAATCCGCCATATATGGGTTATCGCCGTTAATCGAATATCTCCAAAATGCGTTAAATCCGAGGGTGCCTGTTTGTGAGTGAGTCAGAATTTAGCGCCGTTGGTTTAGCGTAGGGCGAGGCTGACCCGAAGAGGTATACGTAAACAACCTTCTCTTAGTGAAACTAATTATGCTTCTAAGTCTGGTTGAGGTGCATTCTCTTCGAGTATGGTTATTGAATTGTGTATTATTATGTTTTATAATGTAGTTCTTCAAACGCATGCTGAGCTTAAAGTCTCGTATATTAATTTAAACTTTACCTGACTCTAATCTGGTTTTGGAGTCAGGTATATAGACAAGGCGCTTGGGCTACTAGGAGCCTTCCCGGGTAGATCTTATCTGATCCTGGTGTAGTCAGGAGATATGCGTCACCTTGGTATATTAGTGTCCCAGGCTGCCAGCTTATCGGGTGATAATAGCGACTGAGAGATTGTCATTGGCCACCAGTGTCCTAAAGCCATACTGCAGAAAAGCCACCCGTTATCTAGGCGGATGGGCTGGTCCACTGGCCTCCGCACCAGAGCGCCCCTCGCGATACTCCCCGCGAGGCCAGGTTCCATTGCTCGGCCATTCGCCGGATGCAGGCAGATGCCACGTATCGTCCAGGGAATTTGATTGTCACCGGGGGTGAGCGGGCATTTAGGTATGCTCAAAGCGGTTTGGGATTGGAGAATAGGATATATATACGTCCGAGGTGGTCCCAAGGAATTTGCTAGAGGAGGTCTACGTTAGGAAGGGTGTTGTGAGCCGTAGTCGGAGTGCGGAATGCTGAAGCCATTGTTGGCAATTTTCATCTTTCTCGCGAGGCTGTGGTAGGTCTCGAACCGCAACTCACGGTTCTGCGGTTCGAAAATATGACAGGTCACAGCCGCACTTCAGCATCCATGTCGTACTGTCGTGGTCCTAGCCTTATAGAACTATAACTCTATAACTTCGAGATGTTTTCCCTTCTACATGAGTTAAATTGTGATATATAGGAGAGTTGGGAGTGGAAACTGTAGGATGTGTTATTTTTACTAGACTTTAGATTCTAGATTAATAAAGGCTATTGCCTTACCATAAGTAGTGTTACGACGATGATACTTTTATATGTTTTTACACGCCCGGTTTTCCTTATTTGTTTTTTAATTCTCTTGGGTAGGTCAGGGGGATTCTACTCTATACTGGGGAGTGCTTCCTCGTATAGATCCTAAAAGGATTCTGGTAGTACCACAGAACAGGACGAATATCCAGCCCTCGAAAATTGATTCAAGTTATGTTCCGGATTCGTGACATTCGCGATTGGGCACTTATTGAATATGATGAATGCAGTCCCCTTTCAGTGATCCCGCTATGTAAGGAAAACTACTTTTCAAAATACGGAATTTATATTTATCTAACATAATTAGGGCTGTTTTTAAAGGTAGATACATATATACTTTCTGCGTACGCCACGAAAGTTGACTCGGATGGACTATGGGTGCCGGCCCGGAGACTTTCTGCTCAACTTAATAATCATGGCTTTACCTTCTTCCTACTTCCCCAAAATGGCATATCAACTAGTAGAGCATGATTATTGTCCGTAGCTTTAAGTATGGCATCAAAATCGCCTGTCATCTCCTTTTAGTACTATATATCTCAACACAGTATTAACTAAATACTAGCAAGCGTTACCAATGTCGGGAATTCCCGAGTCTCCGTCGATTTTCATTACTGGCGTAACAGGTGTGTTGATCATTATTGAGAGTGTGGCCCCCAAAGATCGATTGTACACAATTCTGACTGGTGATCTAGGCTACATTGGAGGAGATGCCTGGCATGCTATTACCCAGAAATATCCCTCCTGCGTGGCAAGAACATCCTGCCTCGTCCGGACGAAGGACAAAGGAGACCAGGTGCTAGCACGCTACCCATCCATTCGCCTCGTGTACGGAGACCTCGACAATACGGAGCTTATCGAAGCTGAAGCATCCAAGGCAGATATTATACTACACTTTGCAAGTATAGAGCACGTTGAGTCTGCAAGCGCCATCAGCCGTGCTCTTCAGAGACGCGAGAAACTCCACCAGACAAGCTATTGGATTTCCGTCTCGGGCACGGATAATATTGCATGGAAGGATTGTGAAAATAAAACGTACGGAGAACACCCTAGTGACCAAATCTATGATGACTGGGACGGTCTCTCCAACGTGACATCCCTTCCTGATACTGCTCCCCATCGAGATGTGGAGTGCGTCCAGCTGGCCGCGGGAGGGACGTTTGTGAAGACCGCAATCGTGTGTGCTCCGTGCATCTACGGGATTGGACGTGGTTGTGGCAATCAGCGCAGCATCCAGATTCCAGATCTGGCGCGCTATACCCTGCAGAAAGGCCACGGTCTTCAGGTGGGCAAAGGCCTCTCCATTTGGCCCAATGTCCACGTCGCAGACCTCAGTGACGTATTTCTCCGCCTTTTTGAAGAAGCCATTCAGGGTGGCACGAGGGCATCATGGAACCGTGAAGGATATTACTTTGCGGAGAATGGTGAGCATGTGTGGGGAGAAGTTTCGTCTCTCCTGGCTCGTGAGGCGCAGACCCGTGGGCTCACCCAATCAGCAGAAGTACGAAGCTTTGAAGCACAGGAGGCAGATAATCAAATTGATTTTGCGTCTCTATTTTACGGTGCCACATCGCGTTGCAAGGCGATCAGGGCGCGGAAGCTTCTTGGGTGGGAACCATGTCATGCAGATATCAAAGCTGCAGTCCTGGAGGCGTTGGAAGTCGAGACAAGGACGCTGAAGATTTAAGCAAAGACTGGTATAAACATGGCATCATGGGGTATATATTCGACCCTCGCTTCGAAATCTAGGGTTTGCTCGGTAATATATTCCATGTGTATGAATCAATATGACAGGTGGTTTACCATTGCCATTGGGCCGTGCTGAGATAGAAAGTGAGCTAGTTGGGGTTCGAGTCAGGATGACTTGCCTAATACGCTATCGAGCAGATCGTAAAATCAAACCAGCCAAGACTAGGCCATCCAATTGTACAATGTGACACCCTGAGTTATGGAGATATCCTACAGTAGCTGCTAGGCAAAGCTGACTGAGACATTGGCCAATCGGTAGAATGATGTGAAAAAGTTGCCGAAGCTTATAAACAATACAATGCCGCCGGATTCCAGATCCAAAGTCATTCCTCGGGACCAGTTGCCTGACATGTTTATTACTGTGTAGATTCATTTGCAACTGACCCTAGGGATAGACTCACCATTTATTTGCCTTTCCGGCAGCATTCCTGTGGACTATTGCCTACCGCAATCTCCCGTGACAAGTTCCAAGGATAATCCTAATCCGATGTGACCTGTCCTTTGTCATCTGCATGACAGAGTGCACACTTCCCTAACAGCAGACCTGGGGAGATGCCAGAGTATTGAACCTCAATGGGGAAGACACCCTTAGCCAGCACATTCTCTTTAACCCCTTCCGTGAAGAACTATTGAAATTGGCTTTTACACTCTTCATTACCCTTCTCGCGCCCTCCGTTACATAACGTGCGTTATTAAAGGTCCCATACTGTTCCACCATCCACCACTCCTTGACGTTGAGACATATCAGATAGTTGCGCGAAACTTGACGAAAAGAGGCAAGACTTAGTGGTGAGGAGCTGAGGAAAGGAAAACATGATTCAATAGTTTGGTTCACTCTACCTCTCCCTTGCTTGATTCGATTTATTACACCCACCCGTGCGACGACCCATAGCACTAAAATGTTATACAGATTACAACTTGCTTTGTTTGCTCGCAAACTTTGAAAACTTATTACCCTTTGCCTTGTATACTGCAGCATAAACCTTTACAGGAGCCGCGATTCTACGCAGCATACTGATCAAGGTTGCTGAGAATGGCAGAAGTGGTGACCCATTGCAAGTGGTCGACCTCCATGCGTAGTTGTTGAGCAGTGGCTACACCACAGCGCGTTTAACGTATGGGCTTATGGCATGTCAGCCCAAGGGGTCATGATCTGTCACTGTAAATAGCAAACCCTCGTGACCTTTAATCTTGTGGCGTAGAGATCGGCAGAGCTAGGGGGTTAGATGGAGCGATGTGAGGAGCGAATCATGCACTCCAGAGAGACGGCTGCAAATCCGCTGATGGGACTCAATGCAACAGTGTCCGGGGAGCATATACTATCAAAAGCAACATGTCTTATGAAAAAAATACAATGCAGACGACTTTGAGGTGGGGGTTGTTCCTAGGTGTTATGTCACCACGGCCACCACACATGGTGATCCAACGTGTTTGTATGGAACAACATTACTCTGCTTTTTGAACTTGATGGCTTAAATCTAAATCCATGAGATCAAGAATTGATTTTACTTAGCTTGCTCAACTTGGTGGTTCTGTAAAACTAGTACAAAGCACGAACCTGATGCCCTGTGAAGTCGACACCCGAAAAAACAGCCTTGGCGCCTGAGGCTGTGGGCAGCAAGACGCCGCTTGGGTTTGACGGTCAGCTGAAGCGCAAGGGCAATACATACGGCATGCCTAAAGGCTCTAGAGTATCCGCAAAGGGGATCTGGTCGAGCTTGTATTATTCACTTTACGCTAGTCCCCTAGAGCCTAGCCCTTACTGGTTGTTGAATAATGAACAAGGACGAGTGTTAGTTTGGATAGACTGGGAAGCAGGATTCGCTGAACCAATTGTCACTAATAGAAGTCTCCCCGGAAATGATGTTGGCACCGTAGGTGCCGTGTGACAGGTTTGTACTATGGGAAACGTAATGATAGCTCAGGAACATTATATCCTTTTTGACCTAGATTACAGTGTATGCACAGACTAGGTTAACATATTGTATCAGATTGGAATCCGGACTGTGGATATATCATATAGACATCACATAATCCACCATTCTAATACGTATCGTTCATAACTGGGAAGATACAAAGGACTGATATTATGTAAATATCCATTGTATCATAAGCTTGATATTTGAATAAAGTGTCGATCGATTTAATGTTTCTTGTACATTATTGAATATTCCGTATTTTGATTCTTGCAAGAGGCTCTTCTAACTGGAAGCATAGAAGCGTAGGAATTATATAAAGGTCGTTACAACTCTTGGATACAGTGCATTCTCTCCAAGCCTTTGATATATTCCCAATCATCACCCCGCAAGAAAGCCTTACGTATTCCTCCCCTACCTCTCATCACCGAGACCATTTAGCATGAAGCTCCAAGTACTCTACTCTCTTGTGGCTGCCAGTCTTGCCTTTGCCGAGCCGATCGGCAACCCAGGAGCCTTTGTCCAAAGAGATGTCGAGCAAACCAAGGACAATTATATTCGATGCTTTTCCCAGTACTTTATCGGTGGCCTTCAATATTGCGGCGGATACCCCGATTGTGTGCCGCTTGCGAATCTTCGCGCTTGCATGATAAAGTCGCTTGGAGGATTCACCGATACAGCCCCGTCCGAGGAAACCTTGAAGAAGTCCTTTGACACTTGTGTAAGTAATCGATTGCCCTTGAAATATGAAGTCGTCACCTGACTGATCTCTTCATATCTAGCGGTCGCAGGTGTCAAAAACAGTGCAAGAAAATTCCAGTCTGACTTCCCAGGAAAAGGAAACTGTTCTGCAGTCCCTTGGAGACAGACAAGGGGAGGCTCTTAGTTTGAATAAGTCATGTGCGCCGGCTCCTAAATAGGGGTCGTTGAGTGACCCTGGAGATGGATATTGAAAGGGTGTCTTGAAATACCTCGTGGGATGAGAGGTTTGTTGGAGGACAGCATTATTTAGGTGTGGGACGTTGTTCCACATTATAGGGTTACCTTTCTGTCGAGCAATTGCACAGTCACCTGGTCGTATAATTCTCTGTGAGCTTAGGAGAGATAGACTATTCTACGCAATTTTAATACGAGACGTTATCTCTGTATCGTTTGGTTCCATGCTACTATCTACCGATTATGCTAGTCTAAATGCTCGGATTATGGCGCAAAACCTTGGGTGGCACTGACGTGGGACCCAACGTGGCGTATTGAATCGCAAGCCTTGCAGAAAATTCCCAAGCCAGGATTTAATCATCCTTTTTCCCGGCGTAACAGTGGGCGGGAGATCAGGGAGGAGTGGGTATATCAGAGTTCTCCGGCACACACGGAGTATTCTGTGCGCAGCGCCATCACACCGTGGCGAGCATTAATTTTCAGCCCAGCACTGGTTATAGCTTCATAAGGCAACCCACCTTAATGTTGGGGCTGCTGCATGGATCCTGGGCATGAATCGCGCTCTTTGCGGACTTATGGGAGTCAGGGTAGTAACGCATCGGCCGCGGATCCGACATTCGGGACAGTAAGGTTGCGATGTGGAAAAGTGGGAAAAGGAGGATGCCGATTTAATTCCTCGAGGAGAAGGTTGCGGATGGGTCGGCCAAGCTCCGTGCAGGCAATAGATAGTGTTGGTTAGCTTAGCTACTACTATGTGGTTGTGGCGAAGTCGGCCCGAATCTGAAGATCCGATCCCCACTTAGAGACCCTAAATCCTGCTGTGGGGATCATGGAAGCCCAAACGAACGAAGAGAGCTATGAAGATTCTAAATCATCAGATCTGTCTCCATACGTCAATACTTCTTGCCGGACTTTGGATTTGAGACGAATCCCCACCTCCGAGTGACCGAAGCATGACTGACTGGTCTATATAAGGGGATCCAGAGGCGAATCCCATCGCCACATCTTTCCTCGCTCAACATTGTGACTTTCCTCTCCCGCAATTTACATCTTGATCATCACTATGGTGCCTACTCAATACTTCGCTATATTCCTGGCCGTAGGCGCCTCTGCCCAATCCAACTTTGGCACTCCGACTTCTGCAGTGCCTACCTCTTCGCCTACTAGTTTGGGGACTAGTATGATCTCAACTAACAAGGAAGCCTATCAAAATGACACCAGCAAGTACTACTTGGGCTATACGAAGGCTGACTTTGAGAAGCCCTTCGCCAAGTACTGGCGTCCTCATGTCGCCCCTATCTCTGATGAAGTCCAGAAGGGAATCTCTTCCAGTCCTTTTGCTGCTGCTCTCGGTAGGTGCCCTCTTTTCCAGAAACCCACCCGCTGTTGCTTGGAAGCTGACAAGTGCCACTCCTGGATGTGTAGCCTACGATGCTCATGAGGCCGGATACTACATGTCTCAGCCCGGATATCAGGAGATGGAGAACGGCTATGCGGTTTCCCTGAACGGCACCGTGATGCTTACCGCCCGAACCGAGATTCCAGATAGTACGTCCAGTCCTTAATGTCTTCTCAGCTACGGTATGGAAAAAATTGATCTAACTTCATTGCATCTTCCAGTAAACGGTGAGATGTATGATTGGTGGTTTGGCTGGCACCTCGTCGAGTCCGCTCGCTACAAGCTCTGGAACCCTGTAGCGCATCAGTATGCCTGGCGGTACCCCAACACTCTCGACTGGACGAACAAGACCTACGCAGAGCGCTATATTAACACCGCCTCCTTCATCGATGAATACATCGGTAACGATGCCTCGAAGCTTACCGTCGCCTTTATCGACCCCTCGAAGCTGGGCTTTGACAAGTCTAACTGGGATGCAGCGGGCATTGAGACTGTGGTTGCGGCCCACATCGTGAGTGGTGGTATGCTGCCCCCGTGAGCCCACACACTGGATCTCCCATACTGACTCTCCCATTCTAGCTCATGTGACATCTGGTTTTGACAACGCTTCCTACTTGGTCCACCAGGTCCGCCGCTTGCCGGATGGTTCGCGCGAGCTGCGTTCGCGCTTTTGGTTGGCCAAGTACACCACTGAGATTGCTCATGATCTTATCGTGCACTGCAACATCGAGATGCAACACTTGAACACTGTTCTTCCGGCGATTTTCGCCGAGTTCAAGGACACTTTGTAGAAGACGCCACCCACGTGGAACAAGATATCTCCACGAGTGTTTGTTAGGTTGCCTTCTGAAGGTGGAAATCGGTATGAGACGCGGTCACTCCTGTGACTGGAACGCATTCCATCGTAGCTATGGCTTCTTCGGTCCAGTGCTAGTTTTGGATATATCAAATCAAAATAGAAAAGACCAAAGGATCATTTCCAATAACCAGGTCAAACTGAGTTTTCCCACCTTCAGTAGCCGGACCTGCGCGGATGTAGAATGGTCTCTGCCGTGACTCCCCACCTCGGCTTCCCCACCACAAGTATTTCCCCACATGAGCTTATGCTCTCCTTGACAACAGAGGTGGGAAAGAGAGGCGCGACATGTCCTGCTTTGATATAAATGGAGGATACCTTCTCTATCTTGATGCATACCTATCAATTACTTGAAGCTAATCAAGTCATATCAACTCAAACCAAATTACTAGAACGTACTTGGCAAGAACTGATTTCACAAAAGCACAGACATTCGCATTATACCACACAATGTCACCTTCGGCTCTCCACAACGAGACCTTCGATGAGGATGTTCCGATCTTGATTATTGGAGGTGGACCATCGGGTCTACTTTTGGCATTCATGTTGGAGCAACTCGGCGGTGTGTATCCCTCCTCGCCTCTAGACTACGGTGTCATATCGTTGATATGAATACTGACGGCATTATAGTCCGATCACTGATTGCTGAAAGATATGCGACCAGGTTGGCTGCCCCCAAGGCCCATGCCCTGAGTCCCCGGTCACTCGAGATGTGTCGCCAGTTCGGGCTGGATGTGAACGAGATTCGCAAGCTCGGGACGGCTCGCAAAGAGGCCTACTGGGTCAACTTTATCACAAACTTGGCCGGTGAACACGTCGGCAAATTGCCCTACGAACGCATGGATGCGGAAGTTCTTAATAGCACGCCTACTGTTAGTTCCCCATAAACCCATATTCAAGTCTTCCCAACACTAAAATGGTATTTAGATGATTCACAACATCCCGCAGCCTGCTTTCGAAGAGCTGATTTCCAAGAGGCTATCCAAGAGCAACTTGGTCGAGATTCGCAAGAACCACACCTTTGTTGGCTTGGAACAGGTGGGAATCTGCACCCATTCCTTTCCATGTAATCGCTGCTCACTGAACCAGTTTGATGATCATGTCATCACAGCAATCCAGGACCGCGATTCAAAAAAAGTATACAAAGTCCGCTCAAGGCATGTGGTTGCCTGCGACGGCGCAAAAAGTGCCGTGCGCAGCTTTCTCGGTATCAAAAGCGAGGGCGAGGATTCTTGTAAATATACACTCCCTTTTGGATTTCGATCATGCAGATCCTAACGGCCCATCTAGACGAAACCATGATGACCATCCACTTTAACGCGGACCTACGTCCCATCGTGAAGGAGCAGGTCGGAATGCTCCACTGGGTTATGGATCCTTTGGTATCTGGATTCATCATCGGCTATGACTTGTCGGGAAACCAAGTTCTGATCTGTAATTTTGACGTGCGTTTCCTGTTCCTGCGGCTTTACCACGATTGATACTGATTGATTTAATTAGTCCAAAAAATGGCCAGTCGAATCGTGGAATGAAGAGCACTGCCGCAAGGTCGTCGACGCTGCCATCGGTGCGAATGTCAAGTACGACATTCTCAGTTTCCGTCCCTGGGTACTGAGCCGAAAGGTCGCCAAGTCCTACCGTGACGGACAGGTCTTCCTGTCAGTATACCTTTCTAGCTTCTCTTTTTGACAGACATTTTGTCAAATAGCTAACCCAACTGTCTAGTGCTGGTGATGCCGCTCATTCCTTCCCTCCCACTGGAGGCCTCGGCTTGAACTCCGGGCTCGGCGACGTCCACAACCTGGCGTACAAGTTGGCAGCCGTGCACCATGGCTCCGCCACGGATGCTTTGTTGGATACATACGAAGCCGAGCGTCGCCAGGTTGCCTTGGTAAACTCGCAACAGAGCGTGAAGAACGGAAAGAAAATCTTCGGGTTGCTAAAAGCACTCGGCACCACTGATCCTGATGTCGACGTTGCTCGGCACAACCTATACCAGACAATCCATGATCAAAAGACTATGATTGAGATCAGCAAGGGCATCGAGGACCAGCGCGAGCATTTCGATAACCTCGGGCTGCACATCGGTTACGTGTACGGCGACAAGCGCATCCCCAACAACGCGTCCGTGTACGAACCCGTCTGTGTGCCTGGAGCTCGTCTGCCGCATGCCTGGATCAAACTAGCCAATCCCAACAAGGTGCAGCTTCCTGCCATTGACTCATCATATATTGGTGCCGAATCACAGGAGCTGGCTGAGATGACATACTCTACGCTCGACCTGTGTCGCTTTGACAGTTTCACTATCCTGGTAGACGAGAAGTTCTCCTCACATTTCATGTCCGTAGTTCAAACGGCACGCAAGCAGATTCCCGAAAGTGCGGCATCTAGCTTATCGCTCCAAGTGGTGGTCAAAGGGGTGGACTTCTTGTTGCAGCCAAGCCAGGATAAATGGGATGATGTGGTGCCTTTGAACCAGGGCCAGGCGGTGTTGGTGCGTCCAGATCAACACGTTCTAGCGATCTTGGACGGCAATGCTGGCGCGGTACACATTGTCGAAGCTTTGAGGAGTCATTTGGCCTGGTAGACGGTGTGCCACAAATATGAGGGGTGATGCATACCCTCGTCCGCTACGGATGTATTACCAAAGTTTTGATAGTAAACGGCGGAGTTTGTTATAAACTCCACCTTCTGTTGTTACCAGCTTGAAAGACCTGGAGCCCCAATGTATTTTCACTTGCCTTGTCTGCAACTTATTTATCTTGCACTTGTTCTATACTTTAGCTTTTAGATCAACACATTGCCCCTTAAGCCATTCCCGTTGGTCCTACCCACTAGACTTTTATTTGCCTCGTTCACTCCTCTTATAGCCAAGGATGAGTACGAACTAGAAGGGGTGAGATCGAGCTCAGAATGAACCCGGGTCGCATATTCTAAACGGTTACATGAAAAGTGACTGATCAGAGTACCTGCCACTGGAGGTTGAGAGAAGACAAATCAAGCGTATTTCTTGTACTATATGATACAAATTAGAAAACTATGTTAAGGAATAGTCCCCTTATCAAGCTGCAGTGAGAAATGGGTCAATAAAGCTTATATGGAGTGACATCTGATAGTAAACCGCTCGGAAGGTCCTCATTCCCAACTGACATTAAGAAATTGGCATCTTGAAAGCATTTAAGTCATACTTCCAGGTATCGAGAGATTCCTGATTATAAACACACTCAGGTTTGCTGCCATTGTGAAGTAGGGGCAGAGCGGCCAGCCACAAATTTGCTGTTGCACTCCTGTCGACTGAACAGTACCGTTTAAAGTCTTGGGCTCAATGCCCGTCTCAGCCCAATCAACAACAGTGACAAAAGTGGTCTCCGGCTATGGAGCATTGGGCTGGAGTGAGTTGGCACCACAATGTGCACCTCCAGGGACGAGAAACAGGCGGTACCAATCGGTACCACTTTAGTTGTATGAGGAGGGTACATTTTCTTTCGGACGGACTCATAGTAGCGAACAGAACTGGGGTCAGAACCTGGGGGTCCGACTCGCCGTGGTAGTGAATGATTTTGCCGCCAACATTGTGACAGACGGAGAGATCGGGCCAGGCGATGTCGAGGGAGTCGTAGTATCTCTGGAAGCCAGTAGTGATCCAATCGCGGAATGTATCACGGGTCACGCCCTCGAAGCTGGACAGGGCCGAGACGTTGGTCAACAGGTTCAATCCAATCTCGACCCATTGGGCGGACTGCTTGACGAAGTATAGACGTCAAACGCGGGCGTTCAATTCTACAGGGCTTCATATAGCTAGCTACTGCCTAGGGAGAATCGCCAAACGCCCAATGATCTCCTCCATCTGTGACGAAATCCGCCACCGCGAGGCAACTGTCTTCAGGCTGATCTGCAATGAATTCACCTCGGACAGTATATTCACTGAGGTCATCGCATCATCCGCGCCAGTTGGGTTCAATGTGTGAATTATTTCCTCAGCCCCGCTGAAGTCAGCCGAAATGGGGGATATGGAGGGCAAGACAGAAGCCGGAGTAGTCGCATAACCTATGTTCTCGTGCAGTGGGGTTTCATCAGCGGGATTGTTCTCCGCGATGACACCGGCCCACACGTCGTGCCATCGCAAACTTTTAGGGATCTTCACCTTCGTCTTATTCCAGAGGTGAATGGCGATTAAAATCATGGAGGCGGCAAAGACGCAGCCAGGGATATGCATTGCATGGGTATGGCCGTTGGGTAATTCGTTCACGAGACGGATGATGGAGACCGCGTGGAGAACGGCGCGGAAGGCCTCGATGCTTTGGGCCCAGCTGGTGATGTTCAAGGGGCGCGCACAGCCTCTGACGGGAATACCGCTAAGGACCTGCGGCAATTTGTACTCGTCACAGATGCGGCGGTAGAGAAATATGGTGGGGGTGGAAAGTTCGATGCATGCGGCATGCCAGCGGATCAGATTCTGGAGGGATTCGACGCTGCGCGAGATGCAGAGATCGCCCTCATAAATGTTTAGGAGGCCTCGAATGATCTGCGAGCGTGGAACGGTTCCCAAAGCGGGACCGTCAACATCATGTAGCTCGGCGATTAATGATTGCAGGCCTTCAAGCAGAACCGCGACGGAAAGCAGCGACAGCTGTAATGGCGCCTTAATGTAATCTTTTGCACACACTCGGATAAATAGCTCTGAGAATGGGATCCGCACATGGTCCAGCCGCGCCATTTCAATAATCCATTCGTCGGCGGTTTCGGCAGCAAATGCAGCGTCAGAACATGCGGTCCCGATTTTGTTTGTGAGATGACGAGCGCTGGCGGCAGAGCCTGATGCCTGCGAAATGAGCCCGTCCAAGACATAGTGTCCGAGAGTTGCTCGCCGTTGAACTTCGGCGGCCACCCAAGTGCGCCAGGCGGCCTCCTTGACCCCCGAGTCTGCTTCCAAGCTGGGTATAGCTCCTAGTTGAAGATCGTCCACAGAGTACATGCCAGAAGTTCTCGCCCAGTAGAAGCCTAATCCATGGAAGACAAACGCGGTGGTCCGAATGCTGGTATTGCTGGAAAGTAGTGCATACGTCTGCCCCAGGAGAGCCGTTAGGACCAACTGGATACCATTGCACTGATCCTGCGGCCCTCGCACTTCGATCAAGCTCTGCCACGAGGCTGCAACCGCGGTATGCCCCAATTTCCACAGCATCTCTCCTTGCTCGGCAGCATTGGGGAGACAGACAAAGAGTGAGCCCAAAGCAACCATATTCAACAACAGAGGGGAGATACAGTCCCGCACAGAGAACGTAGGCTCGTGGAGTATCGGAAAAGACGGCGATACTCGCCGAAAGTATTCTCTTAAACACGCATCCACGAACGGAGGGGTAACTCCCGTATTGTGCAGATCATCGTTCAGTCTCTTAGAAAGATCATCAACAAGCTTGTGAACTTCATGCACTGCATGCTGGCCAGGGCTCCCCTGGGCATCAGCGGGGGGCACCGAGCGTAAACAGCTCAAGGCTGAGATCAACGGACGGGAATTATCGGAGAGATCTGTCATCGGTAACAGCAGCGACGAAGTGTTCAGAAAATCCGGCATCAGCCAGTCAAGCAGATTTTCCGATTCCTGTGTATAAGGGTTGGCGAGGAGAGATTGGTCGAAGAGGCGGGGTTGCTCTAATGAGTAATCCGGCGGTCCTAACGAGGTTGCCGGGGGCGCTGGTGTCTCAGCAAGGACTGCACCGCTAGTCGCAACTTGTTGCTGCTGATGTGCAATACTGGCAGTGGGACTCGGAGCAGGCCTGTTCTGATGCAGCTTCATGTGCCGATTGAGCACATCCTGTCTGCCAAAGGCTTTATTACATTGCGTGCAGTGAAATGGTTTCAAATTTACATCTAATTCCCATCAGCTGTTATCGTTTCGTCGACATGGGGACTGAATATATTGCTGTGCTAGTGACTACCTACGGGTTCTCTCATGTCGCTATGGTTCATTAGCCCGTGGTGCCATGTCATGCATAAGAAGTATAACGCACCGTGAGATGTTCTAACTTGCTGTAGCCCTTATCGCAAACGGCACAGCGAAATTTCTTGAGATTACTGGTTGGCTTGGCTCCACCTGTGACTGGAGGCGACTCCATGATCGTCGTCACCCTATATTAGCCGGGATATACAGAGAGGAGGAAGTGGGACGTGGCGTCTGGGGAAGTGGGAGCGAAGGATGATGGAGTAGATTGAGAGAAAGGAAGGCCTGAGTGGAAAATGAGTTCCAAAACCAGTTGAGTTGCTTTGCCGCAAGCGGTGGTGGGGACATCCTGGGGTTGGTGGGGACCTGAGGTGGGGAGCCGAGGTGGGAAAGCAACTTATCTCTTATCCAGCCTCACGTTCATAAATATTAAAAATATTACTAGGATTACAGAAATTACCCTGGATCTTCGGCACAGTATAGAAAAAACTTGTATGAGATACAAGAATACCCTCTGTTCCAGCAAAAATGCTATATGTGATGTCCTCTCGCTGTATATCGCGAAGGATATATATCAACGAATACCGGTGACTATCACACTTATCCTCACAATGTCAGGAGATAATGATCTTCGCTGGATCTCTTCAAATCGCGAAGCTGTTTTACTATCTCTGCGACTTCCGATTAATCCCAGCCCATGAGGTCTTTAGGGGCCGTTCGAAAAAACATTCTGCCTTTAGAGCACCTCCATGACTAGATGTTGAATAGTTACTCTCTAAGAGGAAATACAATCCAGATCAATTGATTTAGTTTTTGATAAATGGTAAGTATAGATTTGTAAATTCTCGCCGCGAGACTGGTAGATCTCCAGCCCCGCCTTCGTGATCGTGGTTATCGTTCGTCCGCTACCATTTGCTCTCCCAGACCGAGTGAAATGACAGTTAAAAGTTAAACATTTGTATGTTCTGGAGTAGAAAAGGAGGTCCCTTACTGACCGTTGCACGGCCCGATTGTCTCAGTCTACGCAATACACCACTTACAACAATACATATGAGAGCCCAGCGGCTTCCTGGTGCCGGCATCAACTTGCCTGGCCAGTAAGTCCGGCTCATTGCGCTGCATGTATATATGCGACTCAGATAGATCTAGCTATACTGGGTATATCTGGAAGTGTATTTAGACTCTAGATTGAAGGTTAACCCATTTAAAGACCCACCCCGAACCCGTCCGGGGTACGGTAAGGGTTAAGATCAAGATTCACATCGATTACAACTCTACCCGCAAGGAGGGTGGTGCATGCTGAGTTGAATGTGTTGGCTGCGCTGAATACTGTCCAATGACTTTAATATTAGATTTGACTCTCAGTTGGGGGATTTCATCTAAATGGTCAAGACTTTCCTGAAGTTGCGGTGAGGACGAGGCAACCTGCAACGTCAACACCTCTAATGGGTAAGGAAGACGCAAGCCTGCACAGGCTGTCATCCCAGCCACTTGGCCTTTTCTCATTATATATACGAAGACATTCAAGTGCATAGGATTTCCTTTAATTCCAGACCAACGCCTTCAGAGTGAAAGGAGCTTAGTTTTCTCCTTTCGTCAACACTTGATATATTTTGTTAAGCTCATGCCAAAGACCTTCCGCCATGACGATTGAAGTAGAGTCATTATTCAATGACCTTGGAGCGACTTATGAAGCTGCCTTTGCAAACAATGCCCCGCTTCGTGCGTTTGTTCATCGCGCCGCCAAGGAGCTGTCACCCGGTAGTCGAATTCTAGATGTGGGCTGTGGTACCGGCAAGCCGGTGGCGGATATCCTGGCAAGTGCAGGCCATGAAGTTCATGGGATCGACCTCTCCCCTGAGATGGTGAAAATTGCTCAATCCCAAGTCCAGGGCACCTTTGAAGTAGCCAACATGAAAGATTTCCATCCCTCCAAGCCCTACGATGCTGTGTTCGCCATTCTCTCTTTGTTTCAGCATACCCCTGGGGAGGCATATTCCCTGGTTTTCAAATTCTCAGAGTGGCTCAAGGTGGGTGGATACTTGGCCATTGCCGTGACGCCTAGCACCGGCCTGCTATCGGAGACTTGCACATATGATCCCACATGGGATTGTACGTGGATGCTTAGGAAACCGTGGATGGGCAAGTACACCAAGGAGATATTCTATTCAGAGGATGGATGGCTTCGACTGCTGCGAAGCGCCGGATTTGTCATTGCAGCTGAACCCGCCAATGATCTCTTCTTCCCCGCTGGTACCCAATATACAGCCCCCGAAGCGTATTATTATGTCCTCGCGAGAAAGGTCGAAGCCCAGCCATTGCTGGGGCCATATCCACTTCCCACTTCTCCAATGCCCGTCACTCCGGTTGACCGTGTGGATATATTCACCGATCGTCTGGTGAGCAAGGATCTTGAAGTGCTGTTTGAAAAGCTTGCAGAAGGACAGAACGTGCTTGCTCTCGGGCAACAACATGATCTGAGCCGGTATACACGGCACAACGAAGTCCAGCATTTCCCAGGGCCTGCCGAAGATCTTCCATACCCATCGGAGACCTTTCAGGTCGTCTTAGCTCCTTGGATACTTGACCACACCATGGATCTTGGGAAGGCTATCCAGGAAATGGTCCGTGTGGCGCGCCGGAAGGCTTCCAAGATTGTTATCCTTCAAGGGGCTCCCGGTAATGAGGCAGTGATGCACCTGAATGCTGTGACGCGCTCACACCGAATCGACCATCAAGGTCACATCCTGCAGGCGGCAGTGCAACGCTTGGAAAAACGGGGGTTTCGAGATATATCCCTGCGCCGAATCCGTGCACACTATGAGTTTCCGGAGGAAGATTTGTCCACGCGGTGCATGATTGCGGCGGAGCTATTGGTGAATATGTGGCACAAGCAACATCCCCGTTACGAGGTGATCAAGCAGTCTCTAGCATCGCGGCTAAAACTTCATTTCCAGGGCCATGCTCACTCTGTCGGAAATGATATGGTCGCCTTGGTTGCGAGCTCTCCGAGCGATGACATACATTGAACATCTTGAAGTTGGGCATGATCCAGATCTTTCGTACTAGCCTTTTAATTTCAGATATTCTCCTTGTGCCCGGCATTTTGGCTTGAGGGTCGAGAGATAACTTAGACAGTCCGGGGTGGGCAGAGGTACCGTACTATTCCTGGATGCAGTCCCATCCGTGTGCTGTATCAATGAGACACGATTACCTAAGGATTCCATTCTATGTTTAGAATATAGTAGTTTTCCTCTATTCTTGTGTCATTGGCTGGTAAAAGGCCGCACTTCCCCATGGGGAAAGAAAAAGTTAGAGAGCCAGTATAACTGAAGTTGGTTTTGTAGATCTCCGATCCCAGGGGTCGGCGACTCGGAAGGAATCCAACACAACGCCAACAAAAGGACCCCTAAGATACGATCTGACATGTTGAAGGTGGGCTCGCTTATACACAACACGGCTTGAATTAGTTAATGGCACATGACAGCGAAGGGCACCGCCAACGGCAAGCCATGACACAGCCTCGTGTGAGCCCCAATCACAATCAACCCACCGTGTTATGGAGAAGGCAAAGAATGTAGATCTCCACCAACTCAGCCATATTCGGCGCTACTTCAATTGCAAAATGGGCTGCTCCGCTTACACGTCAGGCCACCTGTGATTAAGGCGACCTACTTCTCCTCTTGGCATATGCAGGGATTGACTGATTATTGTTACTATCCAGACTACGCGTTTGGTTGACGCTTTCCAAAGCCTTTCCGTGGTATTCAGATCGATTTCAATGCCATGCCGATCTTCTTGGAAACTATCCGACGTAGAATGCTGCATGGTACAGGTCAACATATAAATACTCGACACTGGTCGATGCTTCCAAACTCATGCATAAAGCAACACATTCTCCCTGCAATAGTACAAACAATCTCAATTATACTCCAAACTCTTTCAAAATGAATCTCCTCAAGGTCCTTGCTGCTACCATGGCACTCTTGGCTGGACAGGCCGTCGCCTCCGCTGAAGGTGAGTTCGGTGCAGATCTCTTGAATACCCATGGACTGACTTGAAGAAACCCATCAGATGTAACCAATCCCTCCGATATTGAACCTCAGGTTTGCGTTGCCATAAGGGTATGCCAGGGCTTTAACTTCAAGGGGCCATGCTACCATGAATGCCTCAAGCCATCGACACCGCATCAGATTCGGGCCGGATTCAAGAAGAATGCTGGTTCGTTTGCGGTAGATACCAAAGGCTTTTACTGTACTGTCGGAACTCCGTGAGTATTCCACTCTGATTAGGTACTTGATAATTGAGCAGGGATCGACTGACTGTGTCCAGAAACACCAGCACCTGCTCGGGTAGAAAGCATCCTGGCTTCAAGAGACTTCCTGATTACTGTATCAACAACATAGAGGCCTACCAATGTAACCCGGACTCGAACTGAATACGCCGTCCCTTGACGCATGTCCATTGGGTTTCGTTCTATCTATGAGTGGGACCGCTACAGTTGCGATAGGTACTGAGCTTTTCATTCCTGGACTGAAGTATTACGAGGCAATGGATTGCATATATTGGAAAGGTGGAGCTTGATAGTCTGCTTAACCAGACGTCTGTCACTTCATATTTGGATTGGGCTTGTCATCTATACTTGATCCTACAAGCAAATAAATTTGTGTTTTCACACAACCTTGCCTGAGTCAATATCTGTTGGTCATCAACGTAATAGCGTACAACGAATATCAGAGGTACTACCCTTAGATTGGCTGTAGTAGTCGGTATTATAAATTAAGTTCACTGTGGACAGGTGATTGGACACAAATAGGTGATGGGGCTGATTGATAAGCCTATGCATACCGGTCAGCTACATAATATTCAGCTATGGTACTCGTAGGTTGGTCTCCAACATTGCCAGAGGGTCAGCCTGGTGGGCGCCAAATATTGTTTATAATCAGCTGGAGGTTATTCATTGAAGGCTCTCCATTGTACTAGTGCAATAAGTTCCCAACTCAGCATGAACGCGACAGAATTGACTGATTTTGTTCAAGATGAAACTGTCGACGACTGCCATGGAGATCAATATAATATAATATACGTCAGATGCTCAAGTCCCCTGGCTAGATGAAACCGGGGTCAGAAATTCATAGTTCCACCAAAGTCAATCAACTGATCAACCAAGATTCTCTTCCTCTTTCTCTTAGAGCCCAACTGTTCAATCATTGTCTAACTATATGGGGGGCTTCCATGGTAGAATCTTATATAAAACAGCGTGAAAGCCCATGTAAAGAAAATACAAAGGAACGACTTGTCAAGATTTTCAATGTTAAACCCACCATCTCTCTAATTCTCGGTTCTGGTGTCTATCCTATATATTCCGGTGGCTGAAACCCAGTACAATCGATTCACTATATTTATCTATTTTTCATATCGCAGGTGGTGCGTAGCTCGCTTATACGGCAGCCCGTTGACGGATTTAATTACGTGAATCCAGCCGGGACTAGTAGTAATACTGACTCCACAACGACTCGGTAACTACCAATGGCCTTCAAGAAGCGCCCAAGAGGTGGGCGTTCCACCTATTTGTGACATCCTATCATAGGTTTCGTAGCAGTTGTGGCCCTTGTTGATCAGAAGTGCCCCTCCTTGCGAGCTAGCAAGTGATTTTAAATCCATCTTTCCTGCACCTTTCCTCTCCTCTTGCTTCCAGCCTTAGCTTTATCTCGAGATCCTCCACGCTCGTCCGGTCCTCCAGCGTTCCGAAGTTACTTTTTACCATCCCTCCGAGCAATTCTGATCCACTTCTGCCAAAATGGGTGTTCACGAGATCAAGACGTATGTCAATTAAATGCTCTGCATTAAGCTTTCCATATTTCTTTCTGTCGGTGACAGATACACTAATACCCTTTGGTTAGGCCTGCTGAATTCGAGGAGAAAGTCATCGCCTCTGGCAAGCCAGTCGTTGTCGATTTCTTCGCCACCTGGTGCGGCCCTTGCAAGGCTGTTGCCCCTGCCATTGAGAAGTTCAGCAACGAGAACCAGGGCGTCGAGTTTTACAAGGTAGATGTTGACGAGCTTCAGAGCGTGGCTGCCGACTTGGGTGTCAGTGCCATGCCTACCTTCGCTTTCTTCAAGGACGGCCAGCAGATCAAGGAATTGACCGTCCGCGGAGCCAACCCTGGCGGTGTCCAGAACGGTCTCAAGGCCCTGCTTGCCTAACTTGTTCCCTCTTGAACATATGTTCGCCAGTGTTTTACTCTTTTGACCTGAAAGGAACGCTTTCCTAGCTTAGACTAGACAATAGATTCTATATTATTAATATCCCGAGTCCAGACTCAACTGCGCGTTCTGCCTTCCATACCCGCATCCGAAATCGGCGGGTTCGGGGAGAATTCGGATCGGGTCCAACCCGTCCCTTCCGACCGTATTTACATGTTATACCTGGGGACTAACCCGACAACGCAACCACCAAACTGCCAACTTTGAATTGCACATAAACGCCCACTATCGTGATCTGGCTTCTACTAACCACAAAGGCGGGTCACCAGTCGTCTTCCCCGTACACGCGGCATTGATGCACATCTCCAGACTGCCAAAGGCAAAATGCTTGCCTGTGAGTCCAGGTCCGTAGTGGATGTACTTGCCCGAGTTCGTCATGATTGTGCGGGTATCCCTGGGGATAACTGGTTCCTGGATGGAGCACCAGCAGGTGTCTTGCAAGAACTGGACCCCGAAGTGTTCAAGCTCTCGGACATAGCCCGCCTGTACGGCAAGGCCGTACTGGGCACGACCACAGGTGACGATCACGGCAACACGCTCGTTCTTGATTCGTCCTTGGCACAGCTTCGCGATCTCTTTGATCTCCCGGAGGGAGAAGTGTGGGTTGCCAAATGAGATGAGATCAATTTCGCGCGGCTCGGAGCCATGGTTGAATTCCTCCCAGGTCGCGGCTAGATCTTTCCAAGTCACATCGATGGCCTTGGGGACTATGCCTTCACGACATACGGCCTCCAGTGTAGGAGCCTCTGGCGTCAGATTGACCATGTGGAACATGGGGGCGCTGGACGACGTAGCAAATGCCGCTGAGAACGCCTTGAAATCGTCACGGTTGGGCTTCAGGTGTTCCAGTCCAGTAATGACCGGAATGGCGGCGGTGGCAATGGCGCCGAGAGCGTAGCCTAAAATCGGCCAGAAGGAGTCGTCCGTCGCCTCTGGTGGTGTTACCCGGAGCCAGATAGACGCAAAGCGATTCTCGTGCAGATAGGCACCGGCCTTGGGTGCGCGGCCAGTCAGGGCAATCAGGGCCTCCAGCATATTGGGGTTTTTTAGTGTCCTCGCACCAAGGACACTGTTGGCGTAGAGAACGGCATTAGACTCTCCCCAGGCAACTGGATCGCCTAATTTTGGTGCCGTGTCGAGTAGATAAGGGGCACAGGTAAATGAAATCTTGCCGCCCATGTCGACAAAGACTTTAGCCAATTCATCACACGAGGATCCAAACTCTGTCTCAATTCCGAGGGCCCGCCATCGTTTCTGGTCAATATTGAGAGAGTTGATAGTAGTAGGGACTTTGAATTTGCCACCCCAGTCACGAAGCCTCTTTCCAAAGGCCACTGAGCCAGGGCCATACCAGGCGCCATCTGTATGCGCTTGGCGGATATCCATCAGTTCTCGGGCTCCCATCATCTCCGCCATTCGGATGATGATCTGAAGCGAGATCCGCGCCGCCTCACCGTGGGCTCCATCCAGCATGGCCCGGTCAGAATCAGAAAGTTGAACGTTGCACTTGGTCAGGTCCACCGCGGGTTCCACAGCTCTGTCGGTAGCATTGACATTCAAGGGACCATCCGAGACTAATCCACCTTGTACATGAACAGTCCTGCCATCCCAGCCCAGAACTTGACGGAAGTCCTCCGGGTTTAGTGTCACCACCGCGGCAGACTTGTCGAACATCTCTTCGGCAACGATAACACCTAGCGTAATGATCTCCTCGCGACGCTCAAAAACCAGTGCCTTGGGGCCCAGGCCGTTCAGAATCAGCTCCATCATGACGACGCTGCCGCCACAGGATCCTCTGCCTCCGGGTATGGCTAGGATGGTGTCTTTCAGAAAACGACCACTTAGTGGGTGGAAGCGATCAATCACTTCGCCTGTTTTGGGATCCACGCCGCCCCAGAAGCTAAGTTCAAGATCGGCTGCCAACAACGTGGCTGAGGTAGCGCCTGTGACATAAGGGGTACCGTGGAAGATGGATGAAGTCATATTCGTAATGGAGTGAAGCTTCACGCAGTGAAGGAAGGTGAGAAGAGGTCAGAAACAGGCACCACACCGAGCCAAGAAGAGCCAGAGTCTCTGATGGAGAATGGGGCAAGGGTATTAGTAGAGATATATACTTTTGGTTTATTACAGATTCTAGTGGGACATCGGATAGGCTGCCGTATCTTGGGCGGCCTTCGCCAGTGTGCTCGAAAAGAGATTGGGGATCAGTCTCGTCGGATTAAAACAGCTAGCCAACAGTCAAGCCAGGAGTTATCAAGTATATACTATATCGCAAGCCACCCCGCAATGTCGTGAAAGTATCGCCGTGGGGCAGCACAGAGGAGATCCCGTCTCGGGTATCATAGCCGATGCAGGGAAACAATTTCCTTAAGGATCCACCGGATGACATATCCCACCTATGAATTAAATAGCCTAGGGTCTCATGAGTATAGTTGGCTGTCCAGAATGAACGATTCTCTTTCATTTGTTGCACCCTATTGGCACCTGAGAGGGACCAGATCTCTCGACGAACGATGTGCCACCGTCAAATGAATCACACGGGATATGGTGCCGTGCTCTCTTTTCTTTTACTGAAACTGGACTAGCTGCTAGTATGCAGTGGCTTCTTAGCATAAATCATGTACCGGTTTCCTGGTGTCAGATACACTGAAGTCCTTGATCTGCCAAGGCTGGCGCACTACACATTAACGCCATGTCAAATACATTCAGAGAAATTACTAATAGTGGAATGATGATGTACAGCTAAAGCTAACTCCCTTAGCTCATATGGGTCTCTCCACATGAGACTCAACACTGGCCGTCAACGCAATGATGCCAGCGATATTCTCAGGAAAGCCAGGCCGCTTCAGTGGCGATCGCTTGGAAGGCACAGCGTAGATGTCGTCCACCGTTATCTTGCCACCGTCTAGCAAGTACTTGGCACTTGGCTGACCTGCATATCTGTTTTTACAGCTCCCAAGCAATGAAGATGAGTGTGATATTCCGAACACAAAATTCATGAGACAAGGATTTTGAAATTCCCTAGGTTACCGCCTTGATAGGAGCATATATAGTGTGCATTTGGAACCCCCCGGGTAAGCAAGACAAATACTCAAGTCTGCAATTTATGTCCTGAATCTGCTGGGCTGAGGGAGAGAGTCAGAATTAGACGGCTGTATCCAGTCAAGCATTTATAGGCCTGTTGAGCGATGAAAAACAAACCGACCTCATCAATATCTCTCACGGTCACGTCAGGCAGTGTACCCAAATGCTCAATGCTAGAGTTGCTCATGATAATACTCGGCTGGTCAAACTCTGTCATTACACACTGGCAGAGACATTTAATCTTCTCTTCGTGTGACATGTCCGCCTTGACGATGATAGTCGTTGTGCCGTAGCTGCGTATCTGCTCGACTACTTTCCAAGTGGCGCTAGTAGAAGAAAAATAGTTCACCACTGGATCTGTGCCATGCTGAGCCAGTCGGATGCCAATCGCAGTGCTGATTCCACAACTTGAGCTAGGGGCGGTATGTGTCTGCTTAGGCATGGCCCCTCGCGCTAGACACGAATGTGAGAAACAAAGATATATCAACTGCGACCTTTCCGGTCACAGTTGCGTTGTTCGAAACCAACTATGAATTCTATACTTCGAATGAAGTACTTGGTTGCAAGCAGACTACTTAGCTATATCGAGTGTTTAATCTCTCAGTCAATCGGAAGCTTACATAGATGTGAATGGCACATCTTCGCCAACATGGTGCTCAGCATCTGTGATAGATGGGCTGTGACGACTGAAATGTCTTTCAATCATCGGGTTCAAAGTAACAAATATAATTTAGTTTTGATAATAAACCGCCAACCACAACGAAGAACAGCATGAGGCTCTACATTAGCTGACATCAAGTTCCATCCCGAGTGGATCTGGTCAACTGTCATAACTATAGATCCTGACCGACCATGTGTAATACCACTGCACTAGTGACGCACCCAGTACAAGGCTGCTGATTTAGGCGGATATTCAGTCAAGGTTGATATCCGAGACAAATTTGTCCTCGTTTAATTATGCAAAGCTTGCAGGGATGGGAACTATTATGTAAGGATAAGCATTAACCTCAATTCCAACTGTAGGCACTTTTGTTTTGTTTGTGTACGCCCGCTAGTTCCTTCAGTAACGCAGGGGCCCTCGATGGTCCTGAGTCTACTATGTATTCCAGGAAATTTATATAGCCAAAAGCGAAATGCTGTGTAGGCCATATATGTCACAGCCGATATTTTCGCAGAACGCAATAGTAACATATCAAACATCAATAAAATATAGCATTAATCTGAAAAATAGCTTGATCCCTCCGACTCCGATAGATAAAACACAAAATGGCGATATTTGTAAAATGACAAGATAGAGTGTTGAGTCGCCGTACAGACGTCGTACGGTGCCAAATATGGCAGACGCTCGAAATGGAAACAGTTATTCATCGAGCATCGGAATGAGGTGTTAACGACGATGTCAGAAACTAGTACGACTAGTTCAGAATAGGGCGACGTATTTACTAAGTCTAATGGGGTAAGGTTTAATGCACCGCCACGATTCGAAGTCAGGTAACCTACCAGTGACCTGAGATTGTTGTCGTTTGCTAAATATGGCAGCTAGGGCTCTGAATGTAAGCATCCGCCGTATGTGGGACCAGCAAATGCTTACCCTCGAAAGGCTAACGCATTCTGGTATAGTGGCTCCCGTTTGAAGTCTGACCCACGCTTCCCAGAATAGACTAGGCTCGAATTGATTACCCAAAAAGGCAGCAATCGGCGATGCTTGTTTGCCCGTTCGGGCTGCTTTGGATTGACTAATTAGGCCGGATCCTCATCAGCTCGAAAGGCTTTCCAAAATAGGCAGTATGATTCAGGCGGACAGATTGTGTATCCGACTGGGGAAGAATTAGTAGTTAACCTACTGCGAAAGCTAACACTCAAGGCAATGCAGTTTTAGATCACTTTCTACGATATATAAACCGTGGTATGCCTCCCTACGGTTGCCAATTCTGTTCTGATCTATCTTAATCAACATCAAAACATTGTTTCTGAGGTATATAATTGTACATGCTCTTTGCAAACCATTTCATCGCAATGCTTCTCCGCTTATCACTCTGTGTCGGAGCACTGTTCACCCTAGTGGTATATTGCACCGTGGAACGCTTCCTTTGGATATCAGTCACTGACATATAAAGCAGACAGCAAATGGATCGATCCCGAATGTCACCATTACCAACTCTTCCTCGTCGATCTACCAACTAAGCAGTGACCCTGAGTTTGCTTTCGTGCTGGAGACCTTTCTCTCTCTCAGCAATGGCGGCGGTGCTGCTACGGGCGAGGTCCTTCGCGCAGCCTCCCAGATCAAGCCGGGCGACATGGAAAGCTTCTATAAGGAGTTCAAGTTCCTGGCAGACCAAATCGCCGACCAGGCTACGTCAGTGAACGCCACCAGGTTTCCCGTCTCGGCTCGTGAGGCGCATTTCCGTGCGTCGACCTACTATCGCGCAGCGGACTTCTTCCTGCACGGAAATGCTTCCGATCCCCGCATTCAAACTCTCTGGTCTTCCGTGCTGGACCACTATGACACCGCAGTGAAGCTGCTGCCTGAGCCGCCGCAGCAGGTAGAGCTCGACGGGGGCCGGTTCAAGATTCCCGTGTATTTCTATTCGGCCCCGAAGTCATCTCAGGCCAATGTGACGAGCATTAAAGGCAACCGACTTCCCACTATCCTGGTCGGCTCTGGGTTCGATGCAGCTCAGCAAGACTCCTACCATCAGATTGGCAAGGAGGTCCTCGCACGCGGGTGGAACTTCGTCACCTACGAGGGGCCCGGACAGCCCACAGTACGACGTGACTCTAACATTGGCTTCATCCCCGACTGGTGGAGTGCGGTCACTCCCGTCGTTGACTGGTTAAGAACTCGTGATGACGTGGACGCAGACCGGATCGCGTTGGCAGGCGTTTCGTTCGGTGGCCAGTTAGCCCCTTTGGCAGCCACCCGTGAACACCGTCTTGCTGCTGTCCTTGCAATCGATGGAATGCTTGATCTTCAGGAGTCAACTTTGCAGAAATTCCCACAGCAGGTGCGTCAACTGTATCGGAGTGGAAATGCGACCGCCTTTGATGCGGTGATCTGGGAGGCATACAAGAAACTAAGCAACACACAACTGAAATGGGGCCTTGATCAGGGACTATGGTCCTTCAATACAACTAGCCCTTTCGAATGGATCACCAAAATGGGCGAAATGGCTCTCAACCAGTCGATGCTGGATAAAATCACCTGTCCGGTGTTTGTTGCATCGGGCGAGGACGACGGTCTCGCCCCCGGTCAGCCGGAAAGGATGGCGCGGATGCTTGGAGACAAGGCTCATTATCATCTTTTCAAAACCAATGTCGGTGCGGGAGAGCATTGTGCCATTGGGGCTGAGCCTCAGCTAGCACTGGCTACTCTGAACTGGTTGGACGAGGTGTTTGAGAACCAGACTTCGCGTTCCTATTAAGGGGTGCAGTTTGTGCATACTTTGTTGCTCGGTGAAGATGGCAGTTTTGTTGCGTGTGATTGTCGTGGCTCTGGGTCCAGGTACAGCTGCATTGTGATTGTTATCGCTCAATTTAATCATTTCTGTAGTTGCAATTTCGGGAAGTTTATGTTGAATAGCCTGTGCTTGTCCAGACTCGTCGTTTGTTAATTTACGCGTATGTTCTTACCGCACGCATAATCCCAACCTCATAGCCTATTCGAAGTAGACCCAGTTTCGCAGCAGCACGCTGGCTGTCGTGCACATGGGCAGAACACGCAATTAGACCCAATGGCCAAAGCAGCTTCAGGGCGTGTCCCCATGTTGGAACGTTTGGACCCCGTTGGTCAGTTCTGGCCACTGTCGCCGGCATAAGTAGCGGGAGCGATACTATGATGCGGTCTGCCAGGTGAAGTAGCCGTTTAATGCTAGACTCGCGTTGGCACAGGAGCTCAGCGTGCTTTTTCGGCGATACATGAGCTTTTAGTGTTTGGGAAAGCAGTTCTACACTTCCTTCATAAACTCGAAAGAGAAATGCATTCAGATAGTTCGCGGCATGCTGGTTCATTAACCACTTCTGAGTTTGTCCTGTTGCTAGGTCGTCCGATGGACCTGGCTGTGATTGAGGGGCTGGCCCTTGAGTAATAACTGCATCTATCGACGATTCAAGATTTCTGCAAGCCACTATTACGTCGTCGATGCTCTTGAGCATTCTTTCGCATGAACCTTGGTCGATCAAATCGCGGATGGTACTGTAGATTCGACAAGCTAAATCACTGTATAAGAATGCCGGCAGAAATAGCATCTCCCTCGCCACGGGGGATGTCTGCATCGAATGCAACCATGCGATTGCTTCTGGTGGCGGTGGCCGGCCTGCTTGTATCGCCTGTATTTGCTACGCCGTAGAACGTCAGAACTGAGTGACATGGCTTCAGCCAGCCTACGGAAAACTTACAATGATAGGATACGCTATCTGGAAAAGCTGGCATCCTGTCTTGGTCAGGAACTGGTTCTGGCCTCGCAAGCGCAACAGTCCAAGCATCGCTTCACCATGCGCGTTCCAGCCCCGAGGTTCCAGTTGGGACTTATGACTCGGTGCCCCAACTAGGAGCTACAACATAAAGACGTTTTAGCTCTGCGACTACACTGTAAGCATTAGAACTAACCTACCTCATACAAACACAACAGCCACACTGCCACCAGCGTTTGGTCTTGCTTCTGCTTCTCCACGTGTGAGATGTCATTTGATAAAGATTGCAAGGCCTTGACATAAAGCTTTTTATGGCTAAATCCCATGCTGTCAGACCGTGACCGGTTGTCAAAGCAGGCGGAAGCAACAGCATTGCACACTTTGTGCAATGTAGATTTGGCATCGGCGCGCTCAAATAGTTGCGGCAGGAAGTCAAACGAGCCGTACACACGAGCACCCTGCAAGGTTAGAATTGTGAATTGGCTGATAACAAGAGGCTTTGCATGGTCCTCCCATTGTTCAGTCGGCGTGTATGTGAGTGCTAGTTGTGGTTGTCTCGTTGCGAATCGGAAATGCCGACCTTGTTCTTGTGCGGAGCCTTTCGTCACCTGTGGGTCATGATTGCGATCCTTATGGCACAGGTAGGATTCAGGAGTTAGGATGCGGAAATTAAACCCCAGCCTGCTCAAATCCCTATAGCCAGGACAGTCATGGCCGATCTTCTTACAGCGCAAGCAGCCAGGGCGTCCGAGATCACACTTCCTGTGTGTTAGTGACCAATATTGTTATGATCAATTGGAACCCACCTTCACCCGGCGACGGCGACAAGTGTGACAATCCTTGCTTGGAAGTCCAGTGTTGACCATAATGGCGAGGAAATATAGTCTGCATCTCTTAAACAGAGTAAGCGAAAGAAAAGAGTCTCGTGGACGTGGGGAAGCTTAAATGTAATCATGCCAAGACTGCGCCACACCCTACCTCGTGATATTCTCAGCCCTATCCAATTCTTCCTGACATTAGGGATCAGGCTGATGTATTTGGTGGTATTCATAATTTGGTGCGAACCAATAAGGCAATATGGCCTTCCTGTGCATATGGCTGCGGGTGCGGGCCTAATATCAAGATCGAGATCGATATCCGTGTTTATGGATAGCCTGCAATTTTGATTGATATAGACCCCGATAGTCATGGCCGGCATATAATTAAGGCCACGGTCTCAGTTGAAGGCCCACCAATGTAGACGGTGCGGGTTCACTGCGGTATTGCAACCATACACTGAGAAGCCAAAAATACTAAAGCAGAGTTTGCTACTGTGATATTCTGTCCTCACCAATAAGTACTAGGTAATATTAAACAAGCCCCCATTGCTGGCCCACCTAGTGATTCTAACATATTTCTTTTGAAGATTTGTCATAGGAGGTATCGAAACGTCTAAAGTTGAAGCGCAATGCGACGGCACAATTATAATCTCAAATGCAACTTTGGTCTAGACTCGCTATGTCGAATACCCGGCCTCTCCCGGCTCTAGAACCATAAGGCTAAATAAGACCATCAACTTGCCAGAACGACACTCTCAGGAGTACATGATAGTGCATTACTATATAAACGTCAACATAGAATAAGCTAGTACATACGACCACAGGGTGTGGAGAACAGGGCTTCCCGTCCGCTCAGCCGTACTTAAGCCACACGCCGGGAGGTTAGTAGTTGGGTGGGTGACCACCAGCGAATCCCTCCTGTTGTATGTTTTTTTTGCTTATCTCTTTTTCTCTTTTATATGTTACAAGTGTGGTTACGATACGTGGAGATAGTATACGACACGACCTGTGAGGGCTTCCTTTTCTCAACGTGATTTCAAATGGAGGAAATAACTAAAACTAATGCTCTAAGACTGGCCTAGATGTTGAATCTAATGCCAGGAGGTTAATACACATAAGTACAGGCAACTGGGAACGTTCACAACACTCTCATGGTTCCCTCTTTAGTCCGCATCCCTTGAATGGTAACGTGGGTGGTCAAGCCATGGACCGCACCCAGTTGGGGACTACTTCAATATCCGACCCTAGTTATCAGGGAACACAATGCGATCGGGATCGGCAGATTGAGGCTCAGACTCCCGGGCATCCAGACACTCAGCGGCATTATTGTAGACACTGCCATCCTCGTCGGTGTAGGGGAACTTCATGATGTCATTGGTACAGTAGTACTTGGTTCCAACACAGCGCTCACTGCCGCGGTCGAAGGTCATGCACGAAGTGTCGCTGTCGGGCGCGGGCTGAAGGAATGGCTTCTTCGCCTTCAGTTCGGCCTCTGGGAGGCTCTGCTGCTTCTGGTGTTATTCATCAGTAATGCCTATATAGATATAAGTGGCAAGGCGTTACCTTGGCATCTTTCGGAGCATCCTCTCTGTCAGACAAGCATTCCTGCTCGTCCCTATATTGACCCTGGGGGTAAAGTCCCTCACGGCAGAAAAGTGCAGTGCCATAACATCTCTCCTCGGGAGTGAGAGCATAGGCACAGTCATAACCGGTACCTTTCATCCAGGGAAGTTTAGGTGCGTCGGCAGGACGGCGCTCTCTTTGGGCAAGGCACTTCTCACGAGCGCCGAACTCCTTCAGGCGTTGCGCCTCGGCGTTACACCATCCAATCGTCCCCATGCAGTCTTCCGTGAGTGCCAGGCATACGCTGCCTTTCTTCCAAGGCAACTTTCCCTCGGTTGACTGTGTCTATTCAATCCCCTGTCAACAGATTGTACGGAGCATGAGCCTCAATAACAAGAAAGACGAACCTGGGGGGCTGGAAGAGCCAGAACAAGGGGTAACAGAGTCGAGAAGATAGCAGCCTTCATGTTGTTCAGTCAAGGAAAGGGTTGAAGTATTGTAAATTAGATTGAATACTTCTGGTTTATGTGTCTGTATTGGGATTCAGATACTTCAGGGCGACTTCCATGCTATTATATATTTTTTCTCGCGATAGATTTAGACCTATTTGAGGTGTATCAATCAGCAAGATCCATAATATGCGGTGGCACTTTGTATCATCAAGGTACACCTTAGCTTTTCGTTGAACATAACAGATCCGGTAAGTTGTCGTGCGGTTGACATTATCGACTTGGCAATGCGCCATCGGCTAAGCCACACATGAATAGGCTTTAGACTCTCTGATGCTATACCGATTAGGCCTTCGAGATTAGGTAAAATGTCTTAGGGTCGTGTGATAATAACCTCCGTTAGTGTCATAATCGCCGAGCCAAGTCAAACCAAGGCCTCTTCATGTGGATGAGTGGAGAATAAGCATTCTTCCTTCAGTGTTCTAGAACGAAGAAGGGACTAAATCCAGGCATCCGAATTCCGCCCAACATATTACAGTACCTGTGTTAGCATCAAAAATATTACAAAGGGCAATGGGGCTATGCTCTGTTCCCACCAACTTTTACTAACCCTAGGTTCAGCCGATAGACCTCATGCAAGCCGGGTCCCAGAAGCCTCGATCAACGCTCTGTAGGCCTCGACAAGATAATGTTAACTGTATGCAATGCGTTTACACACGATACATGCATAAAATTATTTTCACTACAGAGAGCGACCTTCCTTCCCCAACGGTGAGCAGCAGGGAGAATGCAACCTAGACGATTTACCAACAAGCGGAATATGAATGTTGGGTACAGATCCCGCTTTGCCAAGCTCTTCTTCAAAGAGGCTTGGTTACAAATGTGCGGAATATAATTCCGCTCGCATGCGTTTCAGGCCTTTGGATTTATTAGCCATTGTGAAACACTACAGCGAGACAGACCCAAATGTTCGTCATGGGACAGATGAGCACACTATGCCCGTTAACATGATTGCCTGCGTACTAGTCCAGATCGAAATGTTTTAGTAGCAAAGTATCAACCACGAGTAATGGTCCGGACTAGCCACCAATTTGCAGGAAGGGCATTGACAGCCTTATTTTTTAATTCTTTATTGCATTCTATTTCTAGCCTTCTGCTAGGGCTTGATTGCATGCATCTCGATAACGCGGATGTGGCCTCATTGAACACAGTGTGAGCACTGTCATCGTGAGTCATGAAGGACAGCGTTGGGAATCAAATTCTAGAACCGTCTTTGTACAATCCACGAGTTTGTAACGTGCGGATAGAAGCCATCCATGGGCTGACTTGAGCCTCTTTTCTGGTCATAGTTCCGAACCATACTTCACCCTGAAACGTCAGGGAGGCTTTACGATCTCATCACACTAGCGGGCGTCATCAAATAGTAAGTTCTAGAAGTCCGTATCCATATCAACAAATGTAACATTTTACATATAATTGTCTGTTCGAGTAGACTATCATGATGCTCTTTTCCTTGTAGGGGGACCTTGGTAGTCCTGGAAGTTTGCATTCCTACATTCCTCAGTTCTAGAATAGATAAGGTTTGCCTTGGCGTGTTGCAAAGTGCTTTACCCTCAACCTGTCCCATTTAGGCATTTCAAACGACCTTGCAAGTACAAGTCAGTGTAGGCTGATTGATTTGTTTCACAGAAAGTCAAGCAAAGAATCGAAAGATGTGGCCATTCGGTGGTGGTGGAATTGGTTAATGGCTGGGTAGAACAGACCACTTTCCTCAAGGAGTCTCGTTTCCAAGATTTGGACTCTGGCCTTGAATGAAGTGGATCTATGCAGACCGCTGCTGCGACAGGTACATATGTCTAATACCACGCGACGTCAAGCTTTACCTGCCCACAATGATCGAGGGATAACCGTAAGATTTAAGCCATACGGATCTCCATGCGAGGGAGCTCTGCCCATTTCTGGCGTGAGAAGAAGACTTTGGGTGAGAACAGCCGATGCAGAATTTTAGATGCGAGTACATTTAGACCGACTAAGATATGGCAATGTGCGGTTAATCTTCTTTACAGGGAAAGACCAAGGAATTCGATTACATCTCCATATTGAGATAGATGACCTTAACAAAAAGCAATTCTCAACCATAACTATGAAACAGATTATCCTCCTTCTATTCCTAAGTGTCTCCCCCCTCAATTCGTCTCATTTCATCTACCATCTCCCAGACAAGTCATCGTATCTTTTAGTCTAGAGCAGTAACTGTAAACGAAAGGATAAAGGTAGTCGGACCTATAGGAAGATAGGACATAGTATTTACTAAATATTAATATCGGAATACGAACAAACAATCCTGACTCACACAATCACTGATAAGCTAGTCTGCCATTCTCTTTCTACACCTGGTGCCTAGCGATCTGCAACCAGGCGCATTGCACCGTTGTACACTCTACTGTGGCTTAGGGAAGGGTGTGAAGTTCACAAAATTGTTGCTGTTGGTGCCGTGCTCTGCAATTCCAACCAGCACTTCCTTGCCATCTTTGGTTCCAGCACTGTCGTATACTTAGTTCCCATAACAACTTGAGTGATGTGCATGTAGGACTCACATATAGCGATAACGACCTCTATCTCTGGCCGCAAAGTTGCTCTCCTTATCACTGGTCGCTTTGACCTCCTTGAGGTTGGTATACCTTTCCCTCACGCTAGCAAATAGCTGCTTTTCGTCGACGGTTCTACCACCGTCAAATGGCTTGACATGAGCTAAAAAGCATGTTAATAGAATATCCCCATGAGAAAAGGTAGGGTTGTATTGCTCACGTGAGTTCTCAGACTGCAAATAATGCCGTGCAATGGATTTATCACTTTCCCGGAACTCATTCAAGTTGATACCACGGGATTGGGAAGGCCCAGCTCTGGACGGTCCAGGTCGTCCTCCTCTTCCAGGATTGCCACCATCGTTCAATGCGCCTTCACCCTCTCCGTGGACGTTCAGCTCGAACGTTCTCTCATCACCATTGGGGCCTGGAATTTCCTGTAAGTTCTCATCAAAATAGGTTTCGACGGGCTTCTTCGGTGGAGGAAGCTCGCTGACATCGCCCTCGAAGGTTCCATAGCTGACTCCGTCTGCACCAGTAGCACCAGTGGCGCCTGTCGACGCAGTACTCCCAGCGCTTCCTCCATTTCCTGCTGCTTCAGGACTTCCTGCACCCCCTACAGCCCCCGCGGCCCCTGAGGCACCAATACCACCAAGGGCCCCACCAGCAGCACTACCGGCACTACCAGCAGCGCCTAGAAGACCACCGATAGCGGTGCCAGCTCCGATAACACCGCCGGCGATAGAGCCTACAGAATTTCCAGAACCACTGCTACCGCCCAGGTCGGTGGGCGCCTTCGCTTCTTCATTATTGGTTGGGGTGGGACGAGGCGGTGGAGGGAAATGAGAGATGTCCGGGACCTGCTCTCCATTCTCTAGGAAGTATGTGGGCTCAACGGGCTTGGGTGGAGGAAGATAGCAGACATCGCCGTTGCAGGTGAATTCCGGGGTGGTGCCATCGATGGGTGCAGCAGATGCCGCAAGTGAAAAGAGGACAAGACCCAAGGGACGCATTATAAACAATAAAGTAAATCAAAGTAGTTCAAATGAGTAGGCTTTCTGGTCTTCCTGTTAGAGGAGACAACGTTGACTGGGCCTGCCGTCGCTCTTATAAGGTGTTGATTATGGTGGCTGACGGTATGATATGTACCTCTACAGACTATTCTAGAACGCTGGTGTGGCATGCTATGTAGATGCCAAGTCGGAGATATTAGGAACCGAGCAATATTGTGAGAGATGCTCTGGCGTTGTAACTTCTTGCCCATTATGGAAACCGACACGATGCCGAGACTTAGGCAACGGGTAGCCACTATATTTGTCGATCACTAGGAGGGCTTGGCTTAAGGCTAAACTATGGGAAAGCCCAAACTAGTGGATCCTTCGTTAGGCGGGATATCTGCAACCTTTCTTGACATTCTTCAGCCCCGACTTGAGTTGCAGAGGACGTCGCCAGTGAAAATAAGCCTTTGTGAGATGTACCCTGTCTTCAGTAACAAGAAAAAAGAAATTCTGTAATGAGTTCACACAGTCTCCGCCGCGAAACTGGCGCAAAGCTGGAGCCCTGAGCAAAAATTCTAAGGCATATGTCTTCAGGCCTGCATGCAAGGTGGGTCTAAAGGGGCGATCTAGCCCAAACTAAACCGACCCTCTTAGACTAACGCTCAAGATTCTGACTGCGCCTCTCCTGATAACTTGATCTGATAACGCATTCCCTATGTTAGCAGATCGGGCTCGGCCGAAGCTCTGTCGTAACTTCCTTCTGGTAGCAGCTAGAAACTATTTGACATTAGATTGGCTCACCGACATATGCAGGAGGCTCCAGAAACTTAATTATCGGACATTCTTTAGATATGAGCAGGGCCTAGCCCCTACGTTTCATATCGACTTACAGTGGTATGAAGCATCCTTCCCAGTCATTTCCTAATCGCGTTGAATTGACGACCTCATAGGAATGCCCCTACATCAATGTGCTCATAATTTAGTATTTTCGGAGGAATATCAATCTAGTCGATAAGTATTTGGACATTCCGCCAGACGGACCAAACTGGACATTCTGTTACGTTTTGGATCTTGCTTGGCGGGATGAAGTCAAAGCCTTAAAGCTCATCGACTGCAGCTGATAACCACGTCATAAGACGTGAAAAGTTGCCGTAGCTCGTCGTTGCTAACCCTTCCCGTTTTGAGGCCCTCCCTCTTTTCCAACTCCTTCCGCTCACTGTAGTGGTCAGCTAGGTACTATTTTGGCTGAGGCCCAGCAGCACCGCCTTGGGCCACTTCTCACTCGAAAATGACGACCTATGGTTGTCAAACACATTGTACCACATTATCGCGTGGTTTCGGACGTGATGTGAAAGGGATTCGTTGCAAAGAAACACAAAGATAGGGCTAGAGAATGATTGTACTGGATGGATGGCTTGCTTGTCCTGGGTGGAAACGTGTCAATATGAATGAACTTCTAAAGCTACCTGAGTCAGACAGACTGTATATTAGCTAGCTACTCAGCCAAGGAAGTAGAAATTAAAGAAACTCCCCCGGAACATAAGCCGGCATCGAATCCTCCCACAAAGAATTCGTCAACGCCCGCTTATTCCCCCCGTCTGCATCCATAATGTTGATCTGCCCATACGGCTGGAATGTATTATCGTACAGCGCACACTCCGACTGAAACCCATACTCGCCCGTCGAGTACATGATCCTGCCATCATGCGACCACACCACATGCGCATCATTCGCTCCACTACTCGTCAACACCTGCAGGTCCGAGCCGTCCGGCGCAATCGTGCAGACCTCATAGTTGCTTCCACTGATGCGTCGCGTAAACACGATCTTTGTCCCATCTGGTGAGAAGGAAGGGAGCGTGTCCCACCAATTTGTCAACACGGTAATGGGGTACGTGCCGTGGGCGGTTACTTGGTCGAGGTGTATAATGCGGAGACCTAGCTGCGATGTATCGCCGTCTTCTGCATCGGCGCCCCAACCGCGGAAAACGATCTTCGTCCCGTCGGGCGAGAAGCTGGGGAACCCTGTGTTCAGGGTATTGTTGCCGCCTGCTGAGAGTGGGATCGCGCTGGTCGTGAGGTTCATCGCTTCGCTGCCATCGGCCTTGGAACGCACGATCCACCCGCCGTTGGACGCGCGCCCGGCGAACCAGTAGCCGACGCCGTATGTGAGCCAGTTTCCGTCGGAGGACCAGGAGGACTGGAAGGCACCGGAGGTGCCCTGTTCGACGGAGGAGAGGGAGAGGATTCCACTTGCTACGGGGTCGAAAACGGTTTCGTTGTCTGTGCCCGTGGCGTTGAGGGAGATGACGGCGGAGTCGTCGAGCTGTTTTTGGGTGATGGCTAGTCGGCCTGCGGTGTTGACGGTTGGGAAGACGTCGGTGAAGCGGTAGGTCCAGTTGGCATCCCAGCTGTAGAGGAGTCTGTTCTGGGGGCGGATATCCCAGGAGACCTTTTCGTAGACGACGCGTTTGCCGTCTGGGGACCAGGCAGGGGAGCGAGCAGTGGTGTTGTAATAGGTGGTGCCTTTGAGGAGGTAGCCGATTGAGCTGGTGTTGCCTAGGTACTGAGGGAAAATCTTGACGCCGGAGGTGTTGACCTCGACAACGCGGTCGGTGCCGGTTGCGAAGTCGACGGAGACAATGGAGGAGTTCGCTGTGTTGATGTCGAACGAGCTGTGTGCGTCCCAAGTTGTTTCACGCGTCATCTCGTAGTAGACGATGCGCTTGCCGTCTGCAGACCAGCTGGGGGAGCCGAGGGCGTAGCTAGCTTTGCCAATGACCTTGCGGAAGCCGGTTCCATCTGGTCGAATGGCGAATATCGAGAGTTCCTGGGTGTGCTCCCAGCTGCTGAGGCCCATGAACGTCTCCCAGCCGTGGCCAGCCCATTTCGTATTGCGGTCGGAAGAAAAGGCGATCCACTGACCGTCTGGAGACCATGCCGGCTTGAAGTAGCCATGAGGTACAGTTTTGTTGGTGGTGGCAGCGATAGCAGGCGTATCTGTTAGATTCCAGCGAATGCCAGTGACCAGGTCGAGGACCGAAATGTTGGCGATCATCCCTTCGGTCGAGACATATGCAGCGTGCCTGCCATTCGGTGAGAGCACGACGGAGTCTTCGACCGCCGGTGTTGTTACAAGCGGTTGCAGGTCTGACCCGTTGGTGCGCACACGCCATATGTCGGAGTTTCCGTCACCGTTGCGTTCACTGGAGAAGAGGACCCACTGCCCGTCTGTCGAGAAGCTGGCGTGGTATTCGAAAACAGGATCTGACAGGAGCGGCCGTTCATTGCTCCCATCGATATCCGAGATGTAGAGTTTGAATGTGCCGGGCGCGATTCGGTTCATGAGCATCACACCATCCTTGCCTAGACCTCTGGGGTGACTCTGGTGAGCCGCCAGAGAAGGTGGATGTGGATGTGGAATATCGCGAGCATTGAGGTCGAGACCCATCTGCTGCGTGTAGGGGCATGCTGCATATACAACAGAGGGTCCGATAGCTAGCACCAGCCGGGGCGAAGCAAGGAAAGAGAGCATAGCTACAGGCGGTATTGAACTGGCTCTATACTGACAGGGATCCTGGCTGCACGAAGACCTGATATACATATTGTCGCAGGGATCTTCGGGCCACTGTCACCAAACCTATGTACTCCTCTTTATCACTCAAGGGCACGAAGGCCCGACCATCGGGAATCTGATCATGGCTACCTAATCCCATCTCGTAGCCTCTAGAGCTGGCTGGGCCGGATTTGGTTCTGGACATGCCCGTAAAGTGTTTCCTTACTTGTTTCCAAATCAGGCTCACTATGGGGCGATATGCCAGTAGACAGGCAGCAATGAGATACATGCCGGCCTCCAGGATACTCCAAATGAAGATGTTAACTGCTGACCATGTCTTATCGGCTATCGCATCAGTAGCGAAGTATTGTACCCAGCATACCAACCCGAAGATAAATCCACTACACACGAGGCGTCAGTACATTGTTTGGATGAAAGGTATGTTTTGTGAAGGGACAAACTCACACACTACCAAATAGGAAGCTAATTAGAAGCCCTAACTTGATCCGACGAGTGGTTTGGAGCTTAATAATATGAGAAATAGGAAGGATCAGCATGATGACGTCCGACCGTATATGTGGGAGGCGGATCCATCGAAGCAACATGTTTAAATTGAAGCAGCGACCTGCAACACCAGTGTCCCAGAGCGCCTTCAATGGGACACATACACCAAAGCAAGCGGAAATTCCTCCGAGACAGTTGAGAATGATAATAGCTCCCGTGGCGTAGCAAATGTACCGCGTCACGCATTTGATTGCAAAAAGTGATAGATAAAGACTCAGCACGGTTAACTTTGAAAGGGCGACGGAAAGGATCCAGGTAATTCCCACAGGAAGAATATTCTGGGAGAAATAGACTGACATTGAGGGGTCGGTTTCCATGATGCGCACCATATGGAGGCCAGTACCTCCATAGCGGACATCAACTGCGAATGTCCGAACAGTGATTAGCCTTCCGTTTTAGAGCGCTTCTAGCACAGTTGGGCCTACCCAAAATTGTGACATTGAAAGCGATGGTCATTGCCCAACTTGCGATGATCAAGGCATCCTCACGGCTCCAGGAGACCTTCCCGATACGGCGTGAAACGAAGCGTAGAATGACCGCCGTTGTCTCCAGCACCATGAATAGAATCGTTATAGCGTAAAGGACGGGCTGCTTGCTCTCATAAGAGGAGCCTGAGGAGGTCACATTGGAATGTCGGGAATTAATTTTCACCAAAGTAGTTGATACACCGGCGAGCAAACGACTTGGGCAAATAAGAGTAGACTTCGTAGCATATGGCAAATAGGCAATCAGCATAATAGCCAGAGCCTTATATGACCTGAATTTGGCGGTTTCATGTTTGCCGAGGATGCTCGCTTGGAGGCCAGCGAGCAGATGAGGGTAGCATCCAGCAAGGATCTATCGTTCAGTTTTCTGTCGGAATGCTCGCCCCCATTTTGGGGGCAGAATTTGTTTGACAATGCCTTGTACCATGACATGATTTACGATGATCAGTTTATTGTCGGCCTCGCATTTAATTTCGTTTGTAGAGGGGTTTGCGGGGGCAGGCTGAGACTAGCCAGGCCAGATGCAGATGAGCTGCATGTCTAACCCTTCACAGTGAGACCTGCTTTGTTCGCCCCGTCTGGCTATCAGTAATTGAAGCTTCTCAGGTATTGTCATGTGCAGCATGCAACTCGCGATACTACAGGGTTCACATGGAATCTGGTTCCACGCAAGTAAGCATGGGTTGATGACTGGAGCCACCTCCACGTACTCCACTCCGAGTCGTAAATATCAAAGGCTCGCCATTTAGAGAGCAGTAAATATCGTAAAGGTTTTATAGAAAGGGCTTTACCAAATTGCAAACGAATATGAGGTGATCGGTGCCGGTTGTTGGGAAGGCTTAGAAAATCTGACCATGTTGGAGAGGGGCGGAAAGAAATTATCGCCTGTGCCCTAGTCCGATGATTAGTTGGAGGAGAGGCGCACGAGTCATGACCTTTACCACATTCCAGATGACAAACAAACAAAGAGAAAGCCACAGCGGCACTAGTGCCGCAGATCCCAGCCTAGTAAGCTTGATTCCGTTGTCAACGTACGATATTGGCGCCCTGGGAGCAACGCATGTCAGATTTTCGAGCAAAGAAATACATCACCCCCATACACCACGACCCCACTTCCCATCTTTTAACAAAGAGAGTTAGACGTAGAATAACCTTGTAGTTCGTTGGAACTAATGTAATTCGCTCCTTAAAGCACTTAGTCTTCGGTTGTGGTCCAGTTAGACCGTGCGGAGTTGAGTCCGAAGACCCCAGTGCTTCACTCAAAAGGCAGGCCCCCCTTCCCGTTTCTTCCGGATCTACAAAGACATTGCTCAGATACTTTTACTTCCACTGTTAACCAGAAAACAAGGACTGTGAAGCTCTGCAAACGAGTTTCACTTTACAACAGTTGGAAATGGCGCAGAAACCGGACTACCTCCTCACGCGTGACTACCTCGATAACAATAGGTACGTTGACACGGGTGAAGCCATCCCACTGTACCTAGAGTCCCAATGACTGACAATATATGAACTATTCAGAGTCAACCTCCATCATTACCTCTCCGTGGAACTGTTCGGATATCACACCCATCCAGACATCCCCACGTCGGATCCCAATCTGAAAGTCGCAGACGTAGCGACAGGAACAGGGTCGGTGTTTTCTGCATCCCCCCAACTCAGTCAAAGAGAATGTTTTTAAACTGATTTTGCCATGTAAATAGGATCTGGCTCACGGATTTAGCCAGGCGGTTACCGCAAACGGTGCAACTTGACGGGATTGACATCACATTTGAGGCTACCCCACCAGCCGAGTGGCTCCCCTCCAATGTCCGCACTCTCGTGTGGGATGTCAAAACGGATCCCCCGGAGGATCTGGTCGGTATCTACGATATTGTCCATATTCGGCTCCTTACTTTGGTCCTACTAGAAGAGGAGGTGGACTCTGTTATTGCGAGGGTTCTCAGGCTCCTCAGTACGTTACCCTGGCCCATTCTGACCACCGGTGTAGAGTCCGTCATAGAGGCTAATGTCAGAATATTTAGAACCCGGTGGGTACTTGCAATGGGACGAAGCGGATATGAACTCGTGGCATATTCTCAAGACCAACCCGAACAACCAGTCTGATGCGTTGGAGACCCTTTTCAAGCTCAATCAGGGGCAAGACAAGAGATTGAGCCCAACTTATGTTCCTAGCTTCGCATCTCGTTTTGAAGCTGCTGGGTTTGAGAACGTCAAGTCCGAAGCCCGGGATGCACCTCCACACCTTGCTCTTGCGCTGCATGAATGCAACATGTTGATCAACGAAATCCTGCCGCGCAAGGCCAAGAATGCAACCGTGCTGAAAATGGTGCAGGAGCTCATGCCTCGCTTTGAGATGGAGACCCGCGAAGGCTCCTGTTGGGCCTTTACTCGATGGAGTGTGGTGGGAAGAAAGCCCCTGTAGGCGGCAGGATGTATCTATACCCACTAAGCCTAAGCCTAGACTCTACAAGCGGTCTGCATTCCAGCAGCTCGCACCCCCAGTAGGCGAGGCTCCTCTTTAGAGAATGCATTAGAAGGAATTGATATTTAAGACCGCAAATAGACTTGGCATGGTCGAAGCGGCCGGCAGTACCAAAGATTTTGCATTTTTATACGCTCCTCTCTTTGTGCTCCTCCAACGGGCTTCCTGGGTCCTTGCTCACCACCAATCAACATGTCCAGTACTTTCAAGGCCGTCATCTTCAACATGGGGGAGTTTTTTTTTTTTTTTTTTTTTTTTTTTTTTTCACTTGGAGCCCGATCCTTCACACGTAGGTATCCGTGGAGTATCTCCGAACCGTTAGCAACAGCGAGACCTGGGACGAGTTCGAGCGTGGAAGGATCGCGCCAGACGATTGTTATTATGCACATAGGTTCCATATTGGGTTCCCTGGGTCGGAAATCGCTGCGGTGCTTCGCCAGAACACGGGCAGCCTGAGGCCTGATGCAAGAATGGCCTCCTTGCTTCGGGAGCTCAAGGACCAAGGGGTGGCGGTCTATATGATGACGAATATCCCTGCCCCAGACTTCGATTAGCTGCGGGCGATGCACTACGGGTGGGACTTGTTCGACGGCATCTTTGCGTCCGCGCTAGAGGGGATGCGAAAACCGGACGTTGAGTTTTACGAACATTTGTTGAAGCGGATTAATACCACGGCAGGTGAAACCATCTTTGTCGACGATCAGTTGGTGAATGTGGCTGCTGCACAGAGTGTTGGTATGGCAGGACTGCATGGCACGGATTCGTTGGTAACCTATACCGAGTTGCGACAATTGGCTGGCTGGTAGATTGTTGGATCGGAATGCATCACGTTGAGAAGAGTGCGATATAACACACCACATCAGGGCCCAACCCAACCTCGAATTATTCAAGCTATACTGGATTGCAAGCAATACAGATACACAGCCATCCTATACTGTATCACTTGTAGACTTTCAACTCTAGTTGCAATTCCTATGCAATTATTTACCCTATACCTACGAGAAGAACACATTGAGTGCTCTGTATTTTAGGTCTTCGACAGACCGTGGGTGATGAGGCTGACCATCCTGTCTGATGAGGGACTGCAGTATACCTTTGGACAAATAGGGCAGGAATTGGTGCGAGTTCATAGTGTGCTATAGCATAAAAGTGGCACTTTGTACAACTACATAATTGTATAAATATAACTATACAATTTCAATTGAAAGTTGGCTGACCATTGAGTATGCATGCTTGGTAAGGTTCATTCCATCAAGCTATGGCCTGCGGCGGCTCCAAGTCAAGCCGCTCCTTTCATGCAGGATGGTTTCCGACAAGGCGCGCCAGCTTTACCAAGATTGGATTCTTCCCCGGTGGGATGATCAGCAAGAGAGGCACCGGTAGACAGCAGATCAAAACCAAGGCTAGGAGCGAGTTTGCCCAGCCGTAGCCGAGTCGGCCGTACATGTAGGGAGCGGCAACAGGCAGGAACGTTCCCAGGACGTAGCGCAGCGGCAGGACGGCTGCGATGGCCGAGGCGGACTTGTCGCCAAAGACATCAACCAGGTAGTTCATGACAGGGATGGTCGCGGTGGAGAGACAGAAGCCAGCCAGGGCGGTGGCGACAGCCGGTGCCATCCAGTGGACCTTGGTCTGCAGGGTCCAGCCGTACATAAATAACGCGGTGGGTAGGATCAGCATGCCTGGGAGCGCCGGCATTAGCCGTCTCTCGGACCGCACTGCCACCGCAGCCGTCGATTCCGACCTTGGGTTGTTCTCCAGTAGGTTCGCCTTACCGGTAACCAAGCGGTCGAGCGTGAAGCGGCAGAAGAGTGTTCCAATGAACATGCCCGTGGCTGAAAGGGGTGTATCATGTTAGCACTTGGACATCAAGCGTTGTTGGAGGAAGTACGGAGGGAAAGGACTAACTTTGCGCAAGATAGATCAGACCGGAATTAGTCTCCGAGAAGGAATAGTTTTGCTGGAATACCGTAGCCAGCGTTGCAGCGAGCAGGAAGAGGTAGGCGTAGATGATGGACAGGTACAGCGCTATAATGGTTGCCGGCCGAGACCGGAACAGGATGACGAACGGTTGTAAGAGGAAGCGCAAGACTTCCAGTGGCAGCATATACAGGGGACGCCGGGCCTTGGCCTCCTCTGGAGCAGCGGCACCGCTCTTTTTCTCCCGTTGACGCTGGATATAGGGCAAGTACGTCTCACGAAAAACCAGGACCATGGCCAACTCTACAATGCCAGTGAGGATGGCCGTCAGCCAGAAGGTCCAGCGCCAACTGAGGCGCTGCGTGAGGTAGCCGCCGATGATGGGGCCGATCGCGGTGCCCACCAGGGGCATCAGGCTCATGACTGACATGGCAGAACCACGGGCCTCGAAGGCGAATATGTCGCCCACGACGCTGTTGTTCAAGAAGGCCGTCGTGGCGGCGCCGGTGAGGAAGCGAAAGGCTATGATCATGCCAATGCTGTTGCTGAAGCCGGTGATGGCGGTAAAGATGATAAAGAAAACATTGTAGAAGTGGTAGACGCGCAGCCGTCCCACTCGTTCCGAAAGTGGCCCAATATATAGAGGCGCAATGGCTTCGCCTAGGTTCCACACAGTGATGTAGAAAACGCCCAAGAAGTTGCTATGGGAGTCAAACTGCTGGGAGATCTGAATACTGGCGGGAGCGCAAATCACGGTCGAGAGGTTACTGTTCACCGATCAGTCTACAAAGAGAAGGATGCAGGGCATGCTGATCCCTCACACAATAAATGCCAAGGCTGAGAGTGTGATGACGGTGAGCCATTTCTGAGTCCGACTCCAGTTGAGCGGCAGCGACTCGTCATCGCCCCTGGGCTCAGGGAGAATAGATGTACCTGGGACGTCTAACAGAGAGTCCCCGTTCCTGCCATTGCTATTGTCCTTCATGGTAGTTTCACCTGTACTATAATCCCTTTCTTTGCGAACGAACCGGCATTGTCTCGAATATTATAAGCCTTCATCGGGCTGCTTGGGGCCAAGTATGTGAACCGAGGTGATAGAAGGCTGTGTGTCGCGACCAGGCAAAGCCCTGGGTCCTAGAGAATGGACGCGTCAGGCGTGGATAACGACATGAGTCGTTGTTATGCCGTATTAGTGATCTTGTTTGCCCCTTGCAGTCTATGCCCCTGGCATTCCAGAAATTGTGGAGCGGTTCAGCCGATCGTGAAGTTGAGGTTGCATCGCAGCCTTAGTAAATACGACGTTGGGATAGACATGGGTAGCCTGAGATAATATTCCAACGGACCTAAAATGTGCCATGGTTTATATAAACTTGGCGGCTACGGGGGGAACGAATAGAGAGGCTTTTTCTCATTCTTCGAGGCGTCGAGCGAACGTTGAGAGGCTCATGAGGCACGGACACAGCTTAAGATTCCGGGACGATCATACCTTCATGTAGCTTACTGCGCCTGGTGGACACACAACCCAATGCTAGAAATACGACAATGTGGTTTGCCTGGTTTTAGCGAGAAATGGTGATTGCTTAGTCGAGGGAGCGCATTGTAAGCACAGCGGACTTTCTAATTTCGGCCGTCAAGGACGTGATGTGCTGCTGATACATATATATTTACGGAATGATGGAGTATGGGGAGGAGAGAGGCATTCTTCTTGTACTCAAGGTCTCATTCTCGATGATATTCCAATACCTCTAACAAAGATCAACTCATTTGCCTACGCGACTTAACATTTGGACCCTCTTTTGTCCAATCTCACTCTTACCTTTCATTTCCTTCTATTCGCGTGTGGCCATGCGAAACACAAACCCTATGAGTGTAATGGATGGCACACCGCAGCCTCTGTTGCAACCAACAGCACTGGACTCCGTCGACGAGTCCTTGAAAGAAAGGAAGCCGGACAATCACGGTCATGATGTATCAGACCAGGGTCCCAAGTACAGCACGAATTCTCAAAATAGACATGCGACGGACATGCACATGGACAACCACCTAGTAGTAAATAATGACATAACACCAGGCCATTCAATCAACTGCCACATTGATCAAATAAGCGGCCATGCTCGGAGAGATGAGGCCGTTCTAAACTTCCAGTTACCTTTACCGACAGGTAATCCCGGGTCGACAGCAGCTACACTATGCGCTGCGGCTCTAGCCATTGTGCTGGCGTCGCACACCGACTCGACGGAGTTTGCCTTCACCGTGGTGCCCGATGTGCAGCGGCCTTTACAGTCCTCATGGAAGGAGTGTAGCGCCGAGGGGCTAACCCCAGATTCCTCGTTCTGCATCGTTGTAGCCTGGGAGTCAGATCTGCAAGACTTCTTGCAGAGCGTGCAGGACCGGCTCCCCGACCCAACTATCTTGCGCATGCAACATGACAGCATGGCCCTGCCGCGGTCTCTCGGGGCACGAACGCTCGACTTGCAGACCAAAGATGGGTCGACAGGCTTGCATCACCGGGCATTGCTAGTAGACTGCACGCTCCATGCGGATGAGCTCCAGCTGAGCTTCCTGATCGATTCCGCAGCCGTCGACCCTCAATTGATTAACCACGTGTCCTGGCAGTATGAAAGTATCCTTCGACGTCTCCTCTCAGCTGGGTCTGACAGGGGTGAACGCCTCTCGAATTTTCGGGTCGTCAACATGCAAGACCTGCGGGAAATTTGGCGCTGGAACTCGGCAGTTCCGGAGAGGGTGGATGGGCTCGTCCATGATATTTTTGCTGGCGTCGTGCGGGCCCAGCCAGAGTCGCCTGCCATCTGCGCCCATGACGGCGAGCTGACATACGGTGAGCTGGACCACCTCTCAACTCATCTTGCACAATCCCTCATGAAGTATGGTGTGAAAGACACTATCGTACCTCTACACCTCGAGAAGTCCATGTGGACGCCCGTGGCCCAACTGGGGGTGATGAAGGCAGGTGCGGCTTCCGTCGTGCTCGACGTGTCTCAGCCCGTAGAACGGCTTCGGACCATCCTCCGTCAGGTCAACCCCCGGCTGGTGCTGACATCTGTCGAGAATGAGGCCGTCACCCGTCGTCTGTCGACCGAGCCTGTCATGGTCGTGGGAAAGGCCGCATCCGCCCAGCTTCCCCAGGCCGAAGCCGAGTGCGTACTCCCCGCGGTGGCGCCGTCCGCCCAGCTCTATATCGTCTTCACGTCGGGGAGCACAGGAGTGCCCAAGGGAGCCATTGTTACACACTCTAACTTTGCCAGCGCCATCCGGCACCAGCAGAGAGCCCTTCAATTTCGAGCCGGGCAGAGGGTGTTTGATTTTGCGTCATATGCATTTGACGTGGCTTGGTCCAACTTCCTCCACACTATCACCGCTGGAGGCTGTCTGTGCATCCCATCCGACCAGGAGCGAAAGCAAGACATCCCGGGCGCCCTGCGGAAGTACAGGGCTGAGTATGCCCATTTGACGCCGTCAGTGACCTGGTTTTCACCGGAGGATCTGCCCGAAAGCATCCAGTTCCTGCAATTCAGCGGCGAGGAACTGAAGGCTTCACTCGTTCAAGCCTTTCATACGAGGGCAACCATAATTAATACATATGGTCCAGCTGAGTGTTCGGTAACTAGTACGATTCAGGCGGTTGACACGTCCATGGCGGACCGGAACCCTCCCATCGGCCACGGCCTCGGTAGTTGCACCTGGGTGGTCAGCCTGGATGGAGCCCAGCTGGCGCCCATTGGCACCGTTGGAGAGCTGTGGATCGAAGGCCCCATTGTGGGAGGAGGCTATCTGAACGATCCGAAGAAGACGGAAGCGGCGTTCATCGAGGACCCAGCGTGGTTACTCCGCCGCGGCTTCACTACGACCCAGCCAGGTCGACGGGGTCGCCTCTACCGCACGGGGGACCTCGTGCGCTATAACCGGCATGACGGCTCTCTGTCGTTTGTCGGCCGCAAAGACTCTCAGGTCAAGATCCGTGGGCAGCGGGTTGAGCTGGCGGACGTGGAACATCATCTACGCAACTGCCTGCCATTTGAGCTCCAGAAGAGGTTGCAGGTCATTTCCGAGGTCATTGTGCCGCATGGAAGCACAAATCCCGCGCTCGTGGTCTTGGTGAACTCCGTTGATGACACTATTCATTCGGACATGGCAACCTTTGTGCGCAAGGCTGCTGGAGTCTGGGACGAGAAGCTCGCAGAGTCAGTGCCCACGTACATGATTCCCTCGGCCTACATTCCTCTCAAGCGTTTTCCTATGACAGCCACAGGGAAGACGGACCGTCGGCGTCTCAGGGAAGCGGCCTCGAAGATGTTCTGGGAGCACGCCATACCGGATGGGGACGCTGAGCGGATGCAGCCGACGTCGGAAGAGGAACAGGACATGCTTGAAGTCTGGAGCGAGGTGCTTAATATTCCCCCCAACAAGATCTCCACCGACGCAGCCTTCACACGCCTGGGGGGAGACTCCATCACCGCCATGCAGGTCGTGTCTCGATGCCGAGAGAGGAAAGTTCACGTCACGGTAGGAGACGTACTCAAGCTGCGCACAATCCGAGCCCTAGCTGCTCAAAGGAAAGCAACAAGTCCCACCACTGCCATCGTGGCCAGCGAGGATGATGCCGAAGGTCGGTCCTGGCCGCTCTCCCCCATGCAACAGCTGTTCTTCGACGCACACCCCGCCGGTCTGAACCACTACACCCAGAGCTTTCTGCTCCGCGTCACCCGCCCGCTGAGCTTTCATGCATTGCGAGAGGCATTGGCAACTATCGTGCAGCGCCACGGCATGCTTCGAGTCCGCTTCCAGCGACGTCGGGACACTCAGACATGGGAACAAGTGGTAGTTCGGGCGGAAGATAATGCATTTGTCGTCGTAGAACACCCAGCCCGTCCGCCTGGCGGCCTCGAGTCAGTGGTGCAGGCTCGACAGGAGAGCCTTGATCTCCAGAAGGGGCCCGTCTTTGCAGCCGATCTATTTGGTGGAAGCGGAGAGGAGGACGCGAGCCTACTGCTCAGCGCGCACCACGTCGTCATCGACCTCGTTTCATGGCGCGTCATCTGGCACGAATTGGAAACGTGTCTGACCCGAGGGCCAGCCAAGCTTCCATCGGCGCCTCTCTCCTTTCAGACCTGGTGCCGGCTGCAACGTACAGAAGGCAACACGCTCGACCCGACTGCAGTTCTGCCCTACCCGGTGGAGGCCGCACAGATGTCCTACTGGGGTCTGGATCCCAAAGATAATCGATTCGCGGAAAGCGACCTTTATGAACATACTATCGACACAGAAACAACGGCCCTACTGCTGGGCCGCAGCAATCACAACCTGCGCACCGAGACCCTCGACATACTTGTCGGCGCCCTAGTGCACTCCTTCCGCCAGGCCTTTCCGGACCGCACCGCGCCAGCCGTCTTCCTGGAGGGACATGGCCGCGAGCCGTTAATGGGCACCGACGTGGACCTTGCTGAGACGGTGGGCTGGTTCACCACCCTTCACCCCGTCCCCGTTTCAGGATCAAGATCGGACTCACTTGTCGACAGCATCCGCCAAGCCAAGGACACACGTGCGCGCGTGCCTGGAAAAGGCCGGCCGTATATCGCCTGTCGCTATCATAGCGCCGCCGGACGCCAGGCCTTCACCCATCACCAGCCCGTAGAGCTGCTGCTCAACTACCGGGGCGTCTTCCAGCAACTCGAAACTGCCGGGACACTGTTGCAGCGAGAAGACCGGCCGAATCGAACGGTGGCCATAAGGGAGTTTGGAGATAACTACCAGCGCATGGCTCTTGTGGAAATCAATATTGTTGTCGAGGCTGGCCGCGCGCGCATCTCCACGACTACGCACCGGCGTATGAGACACCGCGGCCGACTACACCGCTGGATCCAACATCTATTCCCCGATGCGCTCCGGGCCGCATCCCAAGACCTCTTGGCTATCCGGTCGTCTCCCACTCTCTCTGACTTTCCCCTCTTGTCTATCTCATATGCG